GCGAAAGAACGGCACATTAGCAGGCAGGGGTGTCGAAATTCGCGTTTTCCCGTTCCTTTCTGCAGACGCGATCGAGCGAGCGAGTGAGTCAGGGCGGCGCGTAGAAACAAACTAGACGCGCTCGCCGACGCTCCATTGGCCGCCGGGGGCCGAAAACCGGTCACGTGACCCCCGAGTCAGCGTCGGGTACACGTGTTTTATCTCCGGAGCGAGCACGTGTGGCTCGAGTTTGGAGGGAAAAAATATTATAGTGAAAGCAGCGAGTAAGACCGGGAGAATCGAGGCGACGACAATAAACGTGGAGAGAGAGGAGAGAGAGGAGAATTTCTTGAATCATTAAGCTCTCGCTCGCTCGCTGTGGGAATAACCGCACCATATCAGACCGGAGGGTTATTGCCCCCGGCCCCCCTTTCTTCCTCTACCCAGATACACAAAATATTAGTCTTTTGAAATGAGAGCATTCAAAAAAGCTGCCGCTGCCGATTTTATTTTCTGCTGGTGACAAGATTAAAAAAATCCAGCGCTCGCTCTCCCCCCTTATTTTTCTTCCTCTCTTTTCTTCTCGCTCCGAAACCACTTGGACTTTTTGGTATGCACACATGTGCTTCTCGGTGTGGAAGAGACACGTCTTTTTAAATCCCCTCGCTCGCACATCTGATGAGCTGAGTGAGAGAGACACGTGAATATGTGGAGCATCTCTAGCGCGGAGAGAAATATGTGGGTCTCATTAGTTAATGCCACTTGAATTTGCATACTTGCTCTCTTGGCTGCGCGCATGCATTAAATAATTCTAGCCCCCTGGCTCCCTGCGTTGTCGTGCTGGAATTCGACTATATGCGCGGCACTAAATCATCAAAGATCAAGACACATGCATATTACGCTTGTTATACGCCGCGCAGTGGGGAAGATGAAAAATGCGGCGCGAGAGGAAATTTGACACTTCTTTTACTTTAATTAAAAAGCACTAACTTTCTTGCTTTAATCTGAGGGGAAGCAACTTCTTGTTATTTTTTTCGAGTGAGAAATTGGTCTCCCGACAAGATAATTTAAATTGAAAACGTCAAATTTGTCCAGGCCGAGTGTGGGTATATGAGCATCTCTCTCTACTCTGCTCTTGACACGCGCGGGAGTCGTGGAAAAATGCATATCAAAAGAAGGGATGAAATGTTTATGGCTGCTCCGATGGTGACACTTGAGAGCGTTTTTAATTTCAATTTGCCTCAAAGGAAGATAAATTGGAAATAATTTGACATGTCAAAAACGGGTCCTTGCCTTTAAATTTTCTTGGAGGAAGTTTTTCAGCTATAATTTGTTACTCTTGTCAAAAAAAGTCGGATCATTATAAAGATCAAATGATATGGCTAAAGGCTTTTAAAAGTTTATCAAGATTATTTATAAAATTGGTTGTAGTTGCAAGAGACTTCACAAAATTGTGAGAAAAGTTTAATGCAATTTGGAGATTAAAATAATAATAGGTAAATTGTTACATTATTTTTTATTCAAAAATATATCAAAAGTGTTTTTAAAAGTATTTAAAATTTGATCAATTTTTACAAGACTAATATTTATTGGAAATTTAATAATAAATATCTAAACGAAGGGCATCGGAGGGTTAAATCATATTTTTCCACTTTTTTAATATTGTTATACATTATTATAAAGTAATAATATTGTTGTTTTTTGTACATTGTTACAATAACAATAATTAATTGAAAATAAGAAAATAAATAAAATGAACGAATACAATATATTTTTAGTCTATAAATTATTATTATTGAAGGAAATTTAGCAAAATTAGAATAATTTTTTTTAAGTTTTGAATGACTCAACAAAAACCACGAGTTCATATAACCACATTCCGCCCATTGTTATTGTAATGGCCTTGAACTATGACCCACTCTCTGCACAGCGCTCGATAATCAAGTCGCGACGGGAAATGAGGTGAACCAAGTTCACTTTTTGATAATCCGCCTGCACAAGCAATGATAAAGCGTTTCCAAAACTTTATCCCCGAAAAAAAAACCGCGTGAAATCGGCGCCGAGGGAGCGCTTCTAAAACAAAGAGGGGCCGGCACGAAACTCTTTCCTTTTCGTGAGAGATAAAAAAGTTTTCAGCAGCGAGACGAGACTAGTTGATTTTGGAACTTTTCCCCTTGCAGCAAATATGAAAATCCAAAAACATATCATTCCGGCTGAAAAAACAATTTCAAAACTTAATGTTATTTTTATTCAATAGATTTAGTGTGCTTAAGGGAGCTAGGAGAGGAAGGGGATCGGCAACAATTCAAAGGCCCGACATCATAAAACTTGCATGATCAGCAGCGTGTGTATATATATTTTGTCTTGAGCAGACTTTTTAAACCGTGACCCCTCGAGAACAGAGAGCATTACGTCTCCATAATAAAAATTTATTTCATTTGTAAATTCCTGGCAGCTGAGCGGAAAAAGAAAGAAAGAAAGGAGCAAACTCGCTTTCCCCACATAAGCATTTTCCTTGTGATATGCAAAACACAATGCGCGATCACAACCCCTTAATATAAATTCCGAAAGCTCGCAGCCCCCAAAGGAGCAGCAGCCGTGCTTTTTTGTTTTCTCCTCCTTATTTTTTTTCCACTGAAAAGAGGAGAATCATACAAGAGAGCACCGCACCATATTATTATAAAAACTTCCTTTCCTCGCCCATTGTGTGCGGCTCAGCCTTTGCTGCCAATAGAAGGGAAAAATATTATTTTTCTTCTGGTTGCATTTTAATACGGCGAGACTCACGCTCGACTCTTGGCTTGCCGAGTGAACGAACGAAGGGGAGTAAAAATTGCGTCAGCTCTCAGGCAGCTGCAGTTAGTAACGCCTGCAGCACTCGGAGTTATGCAAACAGTTGAACACAACATCGCAACCGGTTGCATAAGAGCGGTCGACGCAGGGGCAACGCTCTGGATATAACAGGCAGGTAGAGAGTTAACTGACTGGCAGACCGACGCAGCTTGCATGCAGTAAGCGGAGGCGGCGGCGGCAATATGATTATATTTCCTCGTTGTTGCAGCAGGGGTTGGGCAACTCGCAGTTTCGTTTTATGTTTTATTATATATCGAGCTTGCTTCACTTATTCTTGAAAAGCTTCGAGGTGCACTGTAAAAAAAGTAATAAAAAAAAGAAGCAGTCTGCACGCCCCGGCTGTAAAATTATGTAATGTTTGCCGACGAGAGCAGCGTGCTTTTGTTGCGGCTTTGGCGCGAAGAGACGTTAAACTTTGACGACAGCAATGAATATTTTTTCAACTTTAATTTACGGCCGCAGCTCTCCGGGGCCTCTTCGATGCGTTAATGAGAGAAATTGAATAAGTGCACATAAAATTTCTCGGCTCGAAAAATCTCGCAGTTTTACTGCTTTGCGATTAAAATTTCGAGACCGTGATATTTGCATATCCCTCTTTTAAATTAAAAAATGAGAGGAAAAATGATGGAAAGTCGTAAAATAGTGCAGGCGCCATTTATATGGGGTCCGAATTATATAGGTTGTGTATATCCGGCATTAAAAATTTTACTGCTTGCAACTGGCAGTGCTTTCGCCAAACGTGTCCCTTTCTCTCTAACTCGGCTCGGCTTTTCTCTCTCCCTGCAATATTGTGTTATCGCATAATATCCAGCGAAATGCCAAACAAGCCGCCACCGAGCGAAAATTACTCTCTCCCGAACACAATCAGACCACTTATTCGACTCCCCAGACGCTTTTCCTCCTTTCTCTCTTTCGCCTTCAATTACATCCTCGCTCTTTCTCTCTCTCGGTGCATCATCTTCTTCACCTGGCTCGGAGCGATCATCGACGAAGGAGCGACAATAAAAATGCCAGCAAATAAAATAAAATGACGCTCTTTTTTTGTTATTTTCTTTCTGTCAATAAAGATAAACCCCCTCCCCCTCGCAAGCACGCCACCCGCGCACAATATATATCGATGAGACAAAAAGCGTGGTCGTCTCATCGCTTTGACAGCAGGGAAAAAACGCACCCGTGCTCGCACATATATAATTTTGACTCGCTGGCAGAAATTGCCCGTGATGGGTTTTGAATTTGCATTTTTATAGACACCAATTCCGTAATGTTATTTATAGGCGGACGACGCAAAATGAAATCTATTTGAATTTATATACTCGGAATATTCAAACCAGCCGAGCATCGTCGCAAGCAGATGGTCCGCGCCTAGAAACTTTTGAATAAATGAGACCGAGCTCCCCCCAAATTACATTGAAAAGCAGATCGCCGACCAAATTTATTTGCGTGGTAGTGGTGAGGGAGACGGAGAATGGTCTTTCATTAGCCTAATCGAAAGGCGCAGGAAAAATGTGGAGCCAAAATTGACGTTCTTATCTTTTATTTAATAAATGTGAAATTTTCTTACTCTAATGTGAACAAACATTTTTATTATAAATCAATACATCAGAGTTTTACTTAATGTGAATAGTAAAAATGAATATGCCAAAATCCTAAAGTACTGAAGCAGAAGACAACAAATTTTTTGATAGTGATTTTGAATGAAAAAATCCTAAAATCCAAAATTCAGACTTAAAGAATTGACTGTGATTAAAATACATTTGGAATGATATCTAGTTTAATTATTTTACGAGACTTTTTGTTAACTATCGTTTATAAATTATTTTATTTACAATGTAAGAGAATTTCATATAAGAACGAGAAAAAAATTTCAAATTATATTTCTACGAGATCATTTAGTGCTCAAATTGAAATGGAATTTCAATTATTTCAATTTAAAATTATCTTTATCAACTTTGATGACCTTTTCTTTATAAAAATCAGAGCTTTAGTGAAAATAAAATGGAAAACTATCCATTGCAAGAGGAAAATGGACTAGATGATAATGAATTAAAATTTTCAAATTTTTAATAAGTTGAATTCATTGTTCAACATTAAAAATTCCTAAAAAACTGAATAGGATATATTTCAATATTGACAATATTATTTTTTATCTCAATTTTTCTACCCAAGAATATTCAATCAATTTTCTTTTATTCTTTTTTTTTTCTTTGCCAAAGATGAACTGCATTTTTCTTTTATCTGGTAATATATTTTTCACTTTTGTTTTATTGATTTCAAGGGAAAAGTCATAACAAGAGAGCTCGCTTTCTCTCCCTTTGATTTATTTGAGCTGCATTACTATGAATCTCATGATCCCCGATCTTGATCAGATTGCGCGCCCTCGCCACAAGAAAAACAAAGACGGGCGCATTATTTCTCCTCTCATTCTCCACACATACACACACGCCGGTCGCATCACATTAGGGACAGGCATCGACTAAGCAGTTGATTGCTTCGTGAGAAAAACGCACTTGTACCCCGGGCGTAATATATGGAAATCGCAGGAGAGACGCACATTTCTTCGCTCTTTATGTGCTCCCCGCGTCCCCCGAGTGTTCCGATTCATTCAGGAATTTCACAAATCACCTTCTTCGTATTCGTTTTCAGCCAGCACGATTCTCTGTAGCTGGAGAGGTTTAGGCCGGGCGTCTTCCAAAGGGACACGCACGCAAAATCGACGGCTGTTTTATTTTCTTGGATAAAAGTCGAATTGAGAAAACTGACGTTGAAGGGACGACCAGAGCTGCACCATGTCAATTTGCCGGGACAATTAAAGTCGGACACGGGCAGGAAGTATCCGACGCCGGTGGCAAACTCTTCAAAATGTACAAAATAATTGAACTTGCCACTCTCAGCATCAGCACTCGCTCAGTGTCGAGTGCGTGCGGTGCAGCTTTTGTAAATATTTACCCAGAGCTTGAATGGCTCCGTGGACGCAGTTCCAATCTTGCACCGTTTCCACCTCCAACGGCCGCATCGCGAACGATGAGCAAACTTTCGGCTGCGCCGCAAAAGCGAACTGAAAAGAAGTGCTCGTGACATTAATTGCATTAAAAGGAGGGATGAGGTCCTCACCAAGTCTCTGGTAATTAACAAGTGCCTTTTGCAAGTGCTGTACAAAACTTTTCCTTTTATGTTCTCATCTGAACCAATGAAAAATTATAATTGGTTATGAATAATTAAAAAAAAAGGAGATAATTAACGAACATTGCTTCAGGTCGGACTTCACCGCTAGCTTGAGCTATTTTATTTTCAAAGTTTGTTTTAATTTCCTTAATCAATTATTTAGATTTTACGTCTTCGTTGTATCCGAAATAAGGGCAAGTCGCTCGAGTGCAGCCTGGATTTTCATCTAATAATTTCTGGAAGAGTTTGTAAAACAAACGTCAATTTCAAGGAACTTACAAAAAATTTGAAAATAATCAATTTACACAAAATAATTGCTATTATTATTATTTTTTTTAAATGAAGATCATAAAAACTGCAGAATAATTCATTTTTTTTGGTAGATTTTTTTAAAGAGTTGAAATTATTCAAACTTTACCTCGCACATGTAATAATTTTTCTCAGAGCAGTTTGCTAGAATCAAGTCAGCCGCCTCTCTGCTGGGACCAAACTGCATTGCAACGCAGCCACCTTGGCTGCTGTTTTTGAACGTCGTTATGTTATACTCAGTCCAGCCTTTGAAATTGGGCAGGTTTGCTCCGGAGTGGCACCACAAAAACTGATTGGAATCAGGGCTGCCGTATCCCGCCGTCCAGTAAAACATTTTGCTCGGTTTGTCTTTATTAGTCTCGGCGAAAGCCTTGATCCGAAAATAATGACTTTCAAATAGGGGGAAGAGGTACATTAAGAATATATCATTTGTTTACTTTGTCTAAGTTGAGTTTCTTGGCCGACGTCAATTTGGACGGATCATTTATTGCCATTAGAGTCATTCCGAACGAGCAGCACGAGATCTGCGCCTCGATCCACGTCGCCTACAATTAATCATTCGTTCACGCAATCGAGCGCAGGTTTGTATTATTTTTTATTACTTGCACGCTACTGACGAGGTAATGCCGGTTGTCCATGAACGAGGAAAGGGCGAATAAATTTTTCGGCGGGTCTCTCGCGTCTGCCAAATAACATCAGCAAAAACTGATCGAGCGTGCAACAAAATGAATTCTACACTCACAGTACACTTCGCTCGAGATGGGGAATTGGTCCATCTGAAATTACAATGCGTGAAGAGAGTGAAAATTCTCCTCGCTTTGTAAGAAGAGAAATTAAAAGAAAATCCCGACCCCTCTCTGCAGCTATATGTACGGGGGCGTGTGTTTTCGACTTTCATTTCCAGCCCTGTTTATGATGCGAGAAAGGGGCAAGCGAAGCGAATAAAGAAATAAAAGCGACCCTCCCTGCTTTCGTGTGTATATCTTTGTAGGTGTTGATTTCGAGAAAACCTCAAACCACACGCAGCGGTAAACATTGAAGCGGCCCCTTCTCTATATCTCGTCTTGAAACTTACGTTGACTTTGCAGCTAATTTTCGGACAGTTGTCGTGAATGTGCGTTCGCCTGGGAGCGAAGCTTCCCTGTAATTAGTTAATTGTGAAACTTTAGTGCGCCGAGACTAATTAGCGCATTCTCGCGTACTCTGCAAATTGGCCTGTTGAATTCGCCGCAAGGGGCAGCAGTCAGTGAGACGCCGCCGCCGCCTCCGCTTTTCGCCTTGAGCACGACGCACTGCTTATTGTTATTTCGGCCCTCGATCGGGCCCGACTCGACTTCCGAAAACTCTTCTCCCGCGCCGCACCAAGTCAGATTCGTGGCCCCGGGCGCCAACGCTCTCGCCCAAGTCCACCAACGCGCACCCACGTCTTTCGCTGCCAGTGCCGCCGGGCGACATGAGTAATTTTCGTAATGCAAGAAGTGTTGGAAATTTTACCATCCAGTTTTGAAATCGTCCTCGACAAACATTCCAACTCGCTTTTGGCCACTTGGGTCAGCAATTTCATGCCCAGCGAGCAGCAAAAGTCGGCTGCCTCGTCAATTGGGTACTACGTGAAGGCACTAATTAATTTTCATTTGCAAATATTGACAATATTTTTCATTCTCATTGATAAGATAATTATAATTTAAATGTAATTGTGAAATTCTTCAGGAAAATATTACATTTTATAATATTCAAAATTAAATTTATATCAGTTTATTTCAAATATATTTTTTTCAATTTTGAGAAACTGGAATATAGGAAATTTTAAATAAATTTAAAATAATTGTTGTATTTTCTGAGTATTTTTTTTTTCTTAATTCAGCCATTCATTAATATCAATGAGCATGTAATTTTTTTATTCATAAAAAGCTGCTCTGAAACCAGATGGAATATTTTAAGATCAGATGAATTTAAAATTATTTTTAATTTTTAAATGATGTTTTTTTTTATATTGTATGAAAATTTTAAAAAGAAATTATTACATATTCTCTAGCAAAAAAGTATGTCCTATCGCAAGCACTTTGAACCAGTCCAAAAGGAGATGTTGCTATAATTTTATTTTGAATCAATTACACAGTAAATTTTATGAAATTGTATTGAGATACCAATCTGGCTAAAGAGTTTCACAGGCTAAAATAAAAATACCTTTTTGGATGCTGAACTGAGGATTTGCTAAATATTTACTTTTGCAATGTATAAGCACGACTTAGGAATGATGCAAGTTTGCTCTGGTTGTGAGTCGCTAATTTTCTGGTCAGCAGAATTCTATTAAATATCCCAATAAAATATTAATCTTTTTAATTTCTTACGTTTACCTACCTCCAGACAATAATTATTTGCATCATTATTTTTTAATTCCGTGCAATCCTCTTGAAATTCGGAACATTTTGGATCGAGGAAGCAGAAAAATTGTGCTTTTTTGCTGCATACCTCTGGCTTTTTAGCAACTTCTCCTGGCTTGCCCCATCTATTTCATATTCGAATCAAACCAGAAAATAAATTTTACTACAAAACTGACCCGGAGTAAATAAGGCAAGGTTTGTCTTTTTCTGGTTTTACGTCACCAAACGTTTGGCCGGTTTCGATTAGAGCAAACGCAGTTCCTTTAAAAGGCAGACTGTTTACTCCGCTCCAAAGCAATACGTCTTCAACAGATTTTTATAGTCAGCTATTAAAAATTCAAAATATACAATTATATACCAGCGGCTGACGGTTTTCCCATCATGACGTTTTGCACCTCTTTTTCGACGGATGCGTTTGCTATGGCGCCGAATGTCCATCCTCGTGAGTGGCAATACTTTTGTGCGCCAAACCAACTAGTCTGGTGTGTGCGATTAGATGGAAAAATTGGCAATAAAATTTTATGATACCTCCAATTCCACGAAAATTACATTCAAACCAGATAATGAAAAGACATTTTTCTTTGATGCTGAAAATTTAGTTCAAAACTTACAAAAGTTTAAATGGGAAAAAATGGAAGTCACCTAAATTGGAGCAATTTTTATTAGCTCCTTGCTGTAATTTTGCATTTTTAATGCATTATACGAATTTTCATTAAGTTTTCTCTCACCTCATAAATAGGACAATTATTTCCATTGAAAACTTTTTGCTTCAAAGTCGTTGGCATTATTGTTCTGAACGCGTTTTCGTTGCTTATGAGACAATTTTTTATGCATTTATCAACTATATAAAGTAATAAGGCTGGATTTTAATAATTTTCATAATATTTTTAATGCAAATTACCCACCCAAAAGTATGTCCTGGTTAGAAGAAAATTGGATCTGAATAATAGCAAGTAAATTGGGGTATTTTATTAAATATTTTAAATATAAAAAATTTATAATAATGTCTTTGGGTAGTAATTGCCTAATAATAAAATCCATAAAGACACTTTGCAAAGTACTAATTTTTTTAATTGTTAGAAAACTAGAGAAAATCAAAATTATATCTTGTTAATGTTCAAATACATAAATTGGCAAATCGAAAAAAAAAAATAAAGTAATTATTAACCATAAAAAAATTAATTCTTTTTAAGATGAAATTCTCGGCAATTTTAATTATTTTTAAATGATCAAACAATTTTAGAATTTTAATTTCAAGTATTGTTAAAAATGAAACTATAAAATAAAATTTCGATAGATTCTTGTTTCAATTAAATATTTACAAATTCTACTATCTTGCTATTGGTTTGAATTAAATGTATTAATTAGCGAGCATACAAAGCATATTAAAAAGAGTGAAAATTCTCTCGTGGCAAACATCACGTTATCATCCAGAGCTTTTCCAATTCGTATTATTCTCCATTCACCACTGTGTCATTTAGGAACTGACTGTGGAAACAGGTTGACACTGCACTGATGTATAAATTGTGCAATATTGATGACGTCGTCAGCATCAACTTCCTCCGACTAAACACAAAATAATATCTGCGCTGGCCTTTCTATGGCTTTGTGTGGATGTGCGGTTGCCCGGAAATGATGTAAAACTTTCCCGACACCCCGTGTTTTTTGCTTTTATTCTAGCGGTGTGTTAAATAATAATGGGAATACGTCTGAGTCGTGGAAATCATACGTCACTCTTTCTAGTGCGTTGTTTTTAAGTGCTCTTTTTTCAAGTGTGTTTGCTTCCCTCTTGAAATACATTGCAGTAAGTGCTCTCGTACTTGACAGGGGAAAACGAAATGTGTTGAATGTATTTTTAATTAAAATTTGCCTAGCATTTATGAAAATTAAAAACACATCTGAAGAATTCATTATACTTTGCAATCAATACTTCTGAACTCTCATTTTATAAATTAATTTTTTAATAATCCTATGTTTCATTCCATTTTTTTTTTTTTAAATTTAATTTATCATTGAATGCTAACACTAGAGGTAGACATCAATTTTTTAATTTATTATAAATTTTTTTTATAGAAATAGCAAATGAAATCTTAAAATTAATCAGAGGACTTTTTTAATTGCTAACAATTTTCCTATTATTTTTACTGTATTGTCTTGTACATTGAAAAATTTGTAAAGCTAAATCTTAGAAGTTTTAAAATCTCTTCTACATCTCATTGTCGGTCTCATTCATACCCACTTACCCAGCTTACGATATTTTCAATGGGCAAGTGAGTAGTCCAGAGTTTTTTTTTCATTAATTTACCAGTACATCGTAGTTGCGCGCGGCAGCGGCACCAGTCAAAGCTTCCGTTCAAAACTCGTACGCTGCACGCTAGAGGGCAGAACGAGATAGGCCTAATCCCCTATTCCTGTGCCTTAAGCGCGAATTGTTGTCATCTGGGTTTTATAATTTATAATATTCTGAGCTTTTTATCCTAAAAATCATTGTTTCATTCTTATTTTATCTTGTAATAATAAATCACGCAATTCACCATTTTTTTTCTTGCTGTTTCTTTTTCAGTATCACTCTTTAAATTAATTGAGTAATTTGTTAAATTATAAATAATGGCACAAAACACAAAAGATCAAATTTTGCAGTCCGACTGACCCTGGCAGTTATTTCTTTTACTTTTATTCTTCTCCGCGATTTTTACTGGCCTTTTCGGACCTGCAAATGTCAATAGTTATAAAAAAAAATATTTTCTGAAAAAAGATTTCAAACTTACTGACAAAGTCGTAGCCGATCTTTATATCCACCTTATCTCTTTCAAGTTCCCTCAGAACCGACCGGTCGAAATTAAGAGCTGTGAGGCGGAAGAAAAAATCAAGCACATTGTCTCCAGTGCACGCAGATAAAAGCCACAATTCGGCGCCGAGTTCTTTGGACATTTGCACTGCCTGTGCCTCAACCATTTTCTGAGACGCTGGTCCCTTTATAAATAATGAAATTATTTCAAATATTCAAGTGATTTTTTATAATTAATAAATACCATGAGATCCTTTTTTGTTCCGACTAGAAAAACGAGGGGTTTCGGGCCTCTGCAGTTTGCTGTCATCGCCTCCTCCAGCCACTGATGGCAGTGCGCCAGCGAAAGGAGGTTGGTCATGTCAAAAACGACGACAAGCGCTGCGAAATAAAATTGAGAAATAAAAAAATCTAATAAAACCGATGGACTTAAAAACTTCTATTTATACCATGGGCGCCTCTGTAATAAGATGAAGCGATCGATCTGAATCTCTCCTGTCCAGCAGTGTCCCACCTTCAATTGAAATTATGTAAGAATTAATTATTGGAAAAAGATATTACTTTTTTCTTACATTTGCAAATTGAAAGCAACGCCAAGCACGTCAAATCGCTCTACTTCAAAATCAACTCCAATAGTGGCCTTGTAGTTGCTGTCAAAAATACGCTTGCAAAATCTAAAAATATTCAAAATTAATAATTATTAAAATTAAATAAAATTAATTTGTTATTGTTAGAAAATTAAAATTTATCACAAATATATAAATTAATTTGAACTAAAATTTGATATTTACAGGAAAAATGATATAAATTAAAATCGTTCATTCAAAGCAATCAATATTTTGACATATTTTGCTAAATTTTAATTATTTAAGCAATTCACAAATCAATTTCTTCACTATATAGACAGAAAAAATGTATTATCAATTAATTTTAATTTTTTAATGCAACACTGTGAATAAATTATCTATTTTGATTATCTGATTATACAAGTTGGAAGTTATATATCATTTAAAATTATTTAAAAATTTGTTTATCAAAGTTAGAAAAATAAATTGGATTTTGTTAATAGTTTTGGTGGGATTTTAATATTATTACCTGTTAATCAGACACGTTTTTCCAACGCCGCAATCACCGACGAAAACTATTTTCGCTAGTCTCAAAACCTGCACTTTCGACATCTTACACGCATCCCTTACTCCAGGACTGAAATCGGTTTGGCCCGAGTAAAGGGTGGCGTCGTTTCTGAAAGCGACCGGGAAGCGGAAGATCTGCCTGTCCGTCTCCGCGAACTTCTGCATGATGGTCCTCGCTGGGGACCGAATGGCCCCAACTGACGGATAGTGGATTTGTATTTCACTCCCAGACATAATGAAATTCTAAAGTACTCGTCGGCTTCTGAAACGTGAATGTGAAGCAGGAGAACAAAAAGAATGATATAATTCGCCTGTGAGACTAATTTAATTCAGTGGGGGTGGGAAATCTAGGGCAGGTGTGTGCGTCCCTCGCTGCCACGGACACATGCAGCTTGAATAATCGTGACCACCGATGCAGAAACATGCACCTCTGCGCTCAAATACGGAGGAAAATATTTTCATACTTTTGTGTCAATAAATTATTTTTTATTAAAAAATAATAATATAAATAAGTATAAGTATAATTTTATTGAAAATATATTGATGGTCAATTTAACAAAACAGCTCTGAATTATTTTTATTTTATTTGAAAAATAAATTATCAAGTTCACATTAAATTTTAAGTGAAATTATAGGTTTTGTTATGTTGCTTAATCAGAATAAAGTTATTTATTTTTTAATTCAACATTTATAATTGTGTATCCTAAACTAACAATAAGAATATAAAATCACTTATAATTTAAAATTCAATCTATATGTATAAGCATTACAATAAAATAAAACTCAAAAATATTTTTGACAAATGAGTTAAATATGTTTAAGCAGCTTTTTTAAATCTCATATATTTAAGAAAAAATTAAATTAAAGAAACTTAAATGAATACAATTAGACAGGACATAATTACATTGAAGGAGATCAAAATAAAGTAAATAAGATATTAAACTATTTTTAAAAATAAGACAAGGCACTCTTTGGATAATATTTTCATGCTTGTATGAATTTTATGATTTTCATGGCTTCGGATAATTTTTTTATCTTTGGTTATTGGCATCGGTTGCTACGTGCAGATTGATTTTGACTTTCTCGTTTGCCGTGTTGAAGTGCAGCATGTCGGTGACGAAAGTTTTCCTCGAGTCTGACTTGGAGCTGTTGTTGCTCCGGTGATGGCCGAGCTGACAGTTCGGACGCGGTTTCGGACACAAAAGTGCCCGGTAGGCTTGTCTGTATTGCCGGTTGCTGACGGCGTAGATGAACGGGTTGATGACGCTCGAGGCCCACGCTAGGATTGAGGCCACTATGTGCACCATTGGTTTTTTTATCTAAAAAAAAAAAAAAAAATAGATTTTTAGAAAGAAAAAATAAACAAATTTTTTTTCATCACAATATAGAGAAATGAATACCATAATTAATTATTACAATTATGAAGATGATTTTTAAGTGTAAATTTTTTTAATTCCTTTTATCCAGAATATGAAAGCAGTCGATGCTAATCTCAAAACAAACTCACAGCTTCGTCAGCAACGTTGACTATCATCAGTGGCAAGAAGCAAAGAAGGAAGCACAAGAAAATCGTGAGCATCATTCTGGTCAAGCGATTGTCGTCACGTTTCTGTAGCATCTGCTGCTGGCTCATTTCTTTCTTCGACCGTTGATTTTTGCAAATGGGACTAAAATTCAAAATTTAAAAAGAAAAATCACAAATTTAATAAAATCGTACTTGTGCGCCTGGAGTTTCTTCCTGCTGCAGCGCACCTTCATGAAAATGCAGCCGTAAGAAAGGATTATGACGATGCAGGGCAGCAGAAAGCCGAACACGAAGAGGAACTTTTTCGGCGACTTGCCCTCCTTTCTCAGAATGGTGCAGGAAAAAGTGGCCTCGTGGTATCCGAGGCGGCCCCAGGCGCCGACCAGCGGCGGGATCATTATCGAAAAGCTGAAGGCCCACGCGAACAGCATCTGCAGGATGATGCTCGTCCGCGAATAGACTCGATCATACAATCCATGGCAAGCAATCAAAATGTACCTGGTATAACAAGAAAATTAGCAAAAAACAAAAAAAAAATTAATGAGGTATTAACAAAGGGGTACATATATAATCTTATATAGAACAAACAATTTTTTTAATAATACAGCTTAATTTTTATCAAATAAATAATCTTACAAATTTCAATTGACAAAATAAAACAATGTGAATTATTTATGATCTTTTTTTAATAGTAAATTTTAAAAATAAAAAACCTTTCTAGTTTCTAGGAACAAAAATTTAACTTTCCTTTTGTGTTTTAAATTCCTTTACAATTTGCGATAATGAAAAATTGTAAGGAATGTAATTTTTGTAAATAGTTAAACTTTTTACGTACCTATTGATGGTGATGGCGACCATGCTGAGGAGCGAGACGGCTACATTTCCGTAGAAGAAAAAGGGAAAGAGAGAGCAGAGCGTCTCGCCGAAAATCCAAGCCCGATTCCAGAACCGGAAGGCGGTCATCGGCAGGTTGATGGTGCAGAACAGAAGGTCGGAGATGCACAGACTCACCACAAACGCTGTGGTCGCGTGCTGACGGAGCTTGGTGCAGCGCAACAGGGCAATCATGGTCACCAAATTTCCTAAAAAAAAAAATGCGATTTTGCTTGATTCTGATTCAATACCAATTCCTTTTGTGCATAGTTTCAATTTAAATTGAACTTATTTCTGAACAAGGAAAGGTCTCGATTTATAAATTACATCGCCCCCTTTAATCCAAAAGAGCATCAGCCTATTACACCGCCACTACATCATTTATCATGCCGAGAGACTAAAATTAAGTGGTGTGGTCTGTCACTAAAGTGGTGTTGCTCAGGAGATAAAAACGCGCTCCCGAGAGAATGTATGCGTGTGTTTTAAACAGCGTCAGTCCAACTCACTTAAAGATGCACGCTGACGCAGTCAACAAAAAATTTTAATTAAGGAAAAGCTGCTTTTAGTTTTGAAGTGAGGGATAAAAATAAATTCATTTTGCACGATTCCAGGTTAAAGAATTGAGGAAAAAAATATCCAAATACCTGCAACTCCTACAACTGCCAAAATTGTTGCACTTATGGAGGCGACAGTTGAGGCGTCTTCGGTGTAAAAAAGCACTGCCGGCTCCGTTTCATTCCCAAAAGTGGCCATCCTGCGGATTATTTGTGACGTGGGTTGGATCCTTACATTGAATTTTATTTCCTTGTACTGTGTTTCGTCCTGAAATTTCATTAATCATAGGGTTAATTTTTTCAATGCATTATTTCAAATAATTTTTAAATTAATGTTGAGAAAGAATATTGGTTAAAACGGCTCACAATATTGCAATATTCATATTGCATAATTATGTTCAATAACTTTTTTGCGACAATAGTTTACCTTGATAATTTCTTTTTTGGAAATTCTCAAATATATTTACTTCATTTTAAAAGTTTATTATTTTTAACGTTTCAATTATAACTTCCAAAAGAATGTTTATTTATTTAATGATTTGATTGTTTATTTTACACTTTTTAACGTTCCTTTTAAATGAAGCTTTTTTATGTACTTGACATTCAGAACAAGTTTCAGAGATTTTCCCATGAGTTGAAAACACGTACAATTGTTTTGAAACAAGTGCGTTCACGCTTTATTTATCAGCCTCTACGTGACAATATCGACATTTGAGAGTTTACGTTACAAAATCTACCAGGCTATTTTTATGATTCGTGGCCACGTGGGAACAACCGGGTGCGTGTGGCCGTTAGATTTTTTATTTTTACTTTATTGAAATATAATATTTGATTAGGAATGAGAATTCGAGTTCACCACCACCAATATGCGTGTCGCATTATACACTGCTGCTTTTCGCCGGCGCTATTTTCTCTCGAATGCGACAGCGATCGTAAAATCGTCAAAATAAATCGTAAAACGCGTCTTAAAATAAATCTGCATGTGTCTCTTGTCGCTTCCTGTCAAAAAACAAAAACAAACATTAAACCTCCGCAGCCCAAAATACTGGCAGCAGTGGCGAATTTATCAATTTTCACCCCATTTCTTATCATAGTTCCATGCTATAAAAAATTATTTTCAGTATCTGCATTTTTTTTCGAACATATTGAAAAATGTGAACAGATAAATATAGCCGAGTCAAAAGAAGAATAGTTGGAAGAGGGATCTTTGTAATATAAAATCCAGGGTAGCTTTTCAGGGATTAGGACTTCAGTTCAGACCCTGAACATGTTTACGTTAAAAGGATTCACTAGCATACGCTGACTTTAATAAAAGAACGACAGATTTATATAAGAAATCATCTGTGACACTTTCCGGCTTAAAGAGACACAGCTAACCCGCATTTTTTGACATGTTATTGTTAAGTGGGTTTTATAAGAATTCCGTTCTCACCTCAATGTAGCCTTTTTTCTTTCAATTTTCTAAAGTTTTTTTTCTTTTGTGCTTTAATAAAAATTATTCAAAATTTTCAATGTAATTTATTTGATTGAAAATTGGAACACTTAATATGAGGTGATATAAAAAACAAATACAAAATCGGTTAAAGAGGATCACTTTCAGATTTCAGACGAAAAAGTCTTAAGTTGTTGAACTGTTTGATTAAAAACCATTATTAGTTTTATTCTTCTTAAAATCCCTCTATTTCCTAGATTAACATATTATTTAACAAAACTCACTTATTTAACAAAACATTCTGGGAAAAAAACAACGTGTAAATACCGATTTTATTTTATATTATGTTTTTATCTGCGATCAAACACACATATTTTATATTAAAAAATGCTTGTTAACTATATCGAAGAACTGAAATGAAAAATTTTAATTTTCAGCTTCAATGTGTTCAATTTAATACAACTTTTGGTAGCAAATCATCTTCTCCTATCCGTATTTTTTCCGAGGTGAACAATTTAAAAAATTTAATTCATCTTCGAAATTAAACTTCTGTCAAGTACATATATTAAATAGAAAAATTCTTATGTTTGCGTTTAATTTGTGCAGTAGCAAAAAGGATGCAGAAAGTCAATCAGCAGAAGATCGCTGGCGCTTTTTTATTGCAAAAGGAAGCGGATGTGGGCCCTCTAAAATCTAATTGCTTCACTCTGGTCAGCTATAGAGTGCCATAATGAAATCAATGAGCAGCTCTGTTCTCCCTCGCGAGTATATTTGGTGCTTGGTCGCAGACCTTGCTGCTTTTTATGCTAACTGCATATGACTTGCTTGCGCCCCTTTGTGTGATGCTCGTCTGTATATACGCAATTTCGCAACAACTCGCGGGTATATCAATTACAGCTGACTGCGTGTGTCGGACCTTTTCGCGTCTATGATAGACGCGAGAATCACATCAGTGAGCACCACTTCCCAATTACGGACAGGCACACGGCGTTTAAATGTCCATGTGATTCTTGTTAGCTTGTTCGTGAGAGATGGAATGTTTGTTTTACGCATTAAAGAATGAGATGAAAATATCTGGAAAATATTATATAATTTTTTATTTATTTTAAATGTCATGAAAGCAAATTTCAAAGAAAAATAAATTCTTCTTAAAGCTAAAAAACCTCATTTTAAATATATTATTTATTGCTTCAATATTATTAAATAAATTTAAATCCTACCAAAATATATTGAGAATTTATTTAAAATTTGCTAAAAGGCAAGTTATGGCAACTTATAAGTAAATTAATTAGTTCCAAGGCTTAGATTGCCAAACGACTTCATTATTCCAGTTTTTATTGTGCTATAGAAATTTCAAATTATATTCTATAGAAATATAAATAGAGTTCCTGGAAATAAATATAAAAAAGAATATAGATAAATTAATCTTTTTAAACCGATTATTATATTAAGCGTTATTAAAACTGCAACTATACGAAACAAATTTAATATTATATTAATACATCCTTCATTTTAATTTTAGCAAATAATTATCCAACAAAACTTGCCAGTACTTTTGTTTTGCTTAATGGAATTTGCTTGACACACTCGTTCGCCTCAGGTCAAAGTTGAGATTTTGATGCGTCGCTAATGGGGTCGGTTAATTTTCTCGTCTCCCACTTTGCGTCAGCTCGACTCGCCGGCTCGTTGAGTTAATTCAACTGCTAGTTGACTGCACACGGTCTTTTAATCAAATTGTGTGCTCTCAATAAAAGTGGCAAGTTGGATTCAAGTACAAACTACAAGCGAAGCATACTTAAAAATTATTTCAATAAAAGGAATTTCATTTTTATAAATAATTACATGACGATAATGATTCAGTTTGGGTTTGATTAGGAGAATTTATGTATACTTATAAATTTAAAACAAGTTTTATTTCCAGGAATGTAATTTAATCGCCAAAAACGTTTCCTCTCGCATTAATTTCCTGCAATTTTTTTTTGTCGTGGCAAAAAATGACGTGAATATTAAAAAGTTAATTAGAAAACGAAGGGAGAGAAGCATCACAAAGGGCCTCTTTATTTAAGTCTGCGCGCTGCTTGATGAAATTTGATGCCTTGTCAAGATATTGACTTACACTCCGTACTATGCCACCGTTGTTCTAAACAAGGTTCTTGTTCAAGACCGCCTAAGAATTGAATCAAAAATATATAAATATAAGAGAATAAAAACCAATTAAGTTGCTCCATGAACTCTCTACTTAATTGCATTTGCATTAGTATAAAATTGGTGAAGTTTTGAAAAAATAAATGTAATATGCGCTTAAAAAATAAGGTACTAATTGTACCAAGGATTAAACCGATTCAACAAAACTCATACAAATATAAAACCTTTTTTCTCTATTTAATTCAATTAATTATACAATTATTGTTATTTTCAATAATTTACTCACAAATATTACATTTTATTAATTCAAAATTAACTTTATAGATTTAAGATTTTTAACTAATTTATATATAGTATTATATTTATCGATTTTAAAATGAAAAATTAACTTTCTCATCAAAGATTTCTGTCCGTGTGCAAGAAATGTTTAAAATCAATTCGGGCCATGAATATTTTGAGACTCACCCTCTGTTCCGTGAGAGCCGACGCTGTTGCTCCAGGTGAGAGAAACTGCAGATGTGAAGCCCCGCGGGATGAAGCCGCGAAGACCGACTGATTTCAAGAGAGGCAACGCAGCGGGTACAAGACGAGGAGGGCAATGTGTGTGTATTTCTTCCGCGGGGTCTCCCCTCCTTTCTTCCAATTCATTGTGATCAAAAGAGCCAGAGGTGTCCCCCTTTTCATGCCGCTGCTCGTATTGTAATCGCATAAATAAAAAATTCCTCAACGCACATTGTCCCTCTTTCCAGAAGCAAGGGTGGGCCTTGATTTAATTTAATCAGCTGTCGTCTTCAGAACAGTAAACAATATTTTTAGAAATTTATGGTATTTCCTTCATTTTTTTTTAAATTTAACAAAAGTTCTTTCATAAAATAATTTTTTTATTCATTCACTTTTATTTATTCCATTTTTGTGTAAAATACATAAATATAAAATATTATTTACAGCCTAAAAATCGCTTAAAAGTACAAAAAGCAAAAAAGAGCATTTCGTTTTTAATTATCTAGGGAAATACTCCGCGTGGAAACTCCTATTTTTCCATTTACACCTACAATCTGTACGTTTTGAGAGATTTTGAATTTTTATCTTTTGGTGAGTCGCGTGTGACCAAGAAAGTCGAATTCATAAGTACACATTGCATATGTGCTATTCATTGGGGAGGTTTAAAGATCGTCTCCCAGACGCTCAATCTCCTCGATCACGAAATCCATCTGAGTCCTGGATGGGGGTGGTTGACAAGTGGTCACCATGCGGAAGAAATTGACCAGGCCTCGGTGGGCCATGGGTTGGTAGCCGAGCATGACTGCGCCCTGCAGCACCATTCTTTCTTTAATCAGTGGCGCAACCTAAAAAATTAAATGTTGAAATAATATTATTTACATTTCTTAGAAATAATGTATTTCAAAAGCATAGTTTTATAATATTACTTTTCAAATATTAATTTTTATTTTAAAAGTTATTAATAGCTTTTCTTTATCTACAACAAATTTGTGTAAATTTGATCATTTTGTTATGAAAATAGGAGATAAATACAAGTGCATGATCTAACGTTATACAAATTAAATTTGCAAACAGTCAAACTGTGTTAAAATTTGACTTATAGTGAAGGCTGGTGAAGGCTATCAAAAAAGGCACTCCTTTTAACCTATTGACTTTATGATATCGACCGGAATATTTTGGGGGGAAAGTTGCGTTATAAGTTAAATATTTCTTTCAATTAACTATATTTCTTCAAAGCATACATAAAATAGGAAATTTATTTTATGAACAAGTCTCAAAACTTCATAATTAAATATTCTCACAAGTTAAAAATTGCACCATAAGTAAATATAATTTAAATTCATCTATATCAATATATTCCAAAATTTAAATTTATAATATTTGTTTATTAATTCAGAGATTTTACTTTCTTTAATTTTCCAATTTTTCAAAAAAAATTATTCAGAAATTTTTTTGCGCACAACAATTACTTTATAATAAATTAATTAAGTGCCCTTAAAGTGTTCCATTCACACAAATAAAAATTTGATAAATAATTAAAATTTAAAATATTTTTTAAATTACAATTTAATTATGGTTAGCAAGGAATGAAAATTATAAATTTATGTAGATGAAAATTTTACCTTGGACAATTTGTCCCACCAGGCCTCGTCTCTGGTCTGTTCGCGCATGCTGGCCGGCAAAAACCAAAAGCAGATGTTGGTGCATTGGAATTCCGGAAGGACCAACTCAAAGCCGGGTCGTTCAGAAATAATTTTGGCAAAATATTGCGCGCAGTCCACGGCGTTGTCCACGAGTCGCGTGAGACCCTCGTCGCCACGCTTCCGCCACATCACCCACAGCTTGTAGGCGTCCACTTTGCGTCCGCACTGGACACTCTTGTCGCCCGAGTCATAGGTGACGTCGTAGAACTTGTCCTGTTGAAACAAGTAGGTGGCCGACGCCGAATTGCACCGATGTAGTAAACCCTGCGAAATATTTTTGAATTAAATTCCGTTCAATTTTTCCCAATTTAAATATTTTCTCCAAACGTATTAGTTCTTACCGCACAATTCAGTAAAACTTCAAAAATAAAAATAAAATTATCAAAAAAAATAGAAAAGAAACTACAAAACTAATAGTGAAATAATAATTAATTGGAAAAATTTAGTTTAACAAATCTCTATAGACTAGTGTTGACAACAATTATGGTTAAAATTTCAAATTATCTTCCAATAATTGCAAAAATTGGTTTCTTTTGATGGAAATTCTTGTTTTGACTATGTCAATTTTCTTAAACAAAATTTTACAAAAAGAAAATAATTGTTGAATAATTTTCAAAATTTCAGGTATTAAAATGGTTTTATATTTGCTAAATTTATAGTTTAAAATAATTAATCCTATCAAAAAGTATTTGTTTTTGCTTACTTCGTGTTTGACAAGGAACATCGAGCATTGCAGTGGAGCTCCAAGCATTTTGTGTGGGTTCCAAGCAACGCTGTCACATCTGAAAATTTGATAATTTTTCATTAACAATCTCCTGATTTCTATTCCAAAATGATTTCCCGACCTGTCGATTCCCTCGAGGACGGACGCGTATTTTCTGGACAGGATCAAACTTCCACCCCAGCAAGCCTGAATGAAATATTAGCTTTTAGACTTTCTCTCTTTATTTTTTGTAATGTTGTTTTTACGTCAACGTGCAGCCAGAGGCCGTGCTTCTGGCAAATGTCAGCCAGAGGGTTGAGGGGGTCGAACGAGCCAAGGACGGTGGTGCCGGCGGTGGCCACGACGGCGAAGGGCTTTTTCTTCTCGCGAGTGGCCTTAATGATGCACTGCTCCAGGTGCTTAGGGTCCATGCAACCGGCGGCGTCGGTCTTCACTTTGACCACGTTACGCGTGCCAATTCCCAGCCAGTGGGCACCTTTCAAGGTTGAGTAGTGAGCCTAGAATATGTTAAATTACAAGGTTAGTAAAAAAATAATTTTAAAAAATTAGTAAAATGTAGTCAGAAAAATTAAAAAATAATTTTTTATATAAAAAATTAAATTTCAATTACATCTTCAGAGGTGAAAACGACAAGAGGAGGCAACCCAGCCAATCCGTCGGTTTTGACGTCAGGGTACAACCTGTACCTTGCCAGCACAAGTCCGTACATGTTGGACATGCTTCCACCTTTTTTGTAAATCGTGCAACAAATCAGAGACATAAATAAAATTAATTTTTAATCAAAATCTTACCAGGTGCAAAAATTCCGTCTCCGTTGGGAAAACCGAAAAGTTCCAAAACTCTTTGCAAGACTGCATGTTCAGCAAGGGAAAACGTCGGAGCCACTTCAAAAGTGTACCTATAAAATCAAACAAAATGTTAAAATTTTCATTTAAAAATATTAAAAATAATTCATTTATTTCAAAATAAGTATCAACTTAATTTCTTATTTTTGTAGGCGCTTTTTATTAAAATTTCAAAATTTTCAAAACTCACTGATTTGTATTGCAGGCCTCGCTGACCCAGGCGCCGGCCAATCCATACGGGTCGGTGCCGCCATACAGCTGGTTGTAAAAGTGCGGGTGTCCGGTGTCCACACTGCGCTGAATCGTGTGTCGCACCAACGACAGCAGCTTTTCATCCGTGCAGCCGTCCTGGCCCAGCGAGAAGTCTATTTCTTCCTAATCAAATAAAATTAATTTAGATTATATAATAATTATATCGTTTTTGGTGTACAGAGCTAATAAAAAAAATGCATTAAGCCAATCTGGCAAGTTTTAATGCAAGATTAATTGAACTTTGGTCGGCAAGTAATCTCCGCACGTTCACCGCGTGGCTTATTAATACTTGTGAAACGTGTTCAATGCCTTGAGAATTGCTTGATTTGAATCAAGTTAATGGGAATTTATATAATATAATGTAATATAACCTTCTTATATTTAAATTTAAAAATAATTTATGGTTTTAAAAAATTTTTAATTTTTTTATTTGTGTCTCTATTTTTCAAAGACTTTGTATCAATAATTAATCAAGATTTTCTTTCTCTTCGATATTCTGAGGAACCACTATGAAAGTTAAACTATATTTGCATACATAAAAATTTTGTGAATGAAATACGTTTCATTGGTGGCTTGCCGCTTGTTTTTGTCAAACATTAATCTTCACATATTATTATTGCATAACTTACAACTTACTGAATGACCTTCTAGGGAATTTTTTTTTCATAATTTTTATCAATGAGGCTTATCAGGATTTGGATTTTTTTTTTAACATTTCAAAGTTTTATTCCTTATTTGAACGGATTGCAAGAGGATTTACGTTCGATGGTAATTTAAGTTCAACGAACAACTTTGCGAACAGTGCGTGAACACTCATCTCTCACGTGATCCGACAGTGCCAAAATTTGGCCTTCGGGTGCGCGTAATATTCTACACGTGCTAAAATTTTTAAAGAATTGACCTCCAGACTTCAGTAAAAGCCTAAAGCATTTCCTATGCCAGCCGATTCCAGTCTTATCGTGCGGATGTTTGACGCGATGTATGTAATGAACCCGTTTTTTCTTTTGGTCTGACTGCTTATTTTTACCACTTTCTTTACTACTATTTTTTTTACTAACATACTCCACGTGCTACTAAAGGTTGATACTCTTTAAATCATAGAAGTTGAAAGTTTATACTTTTGTTTTTATTTATTATTCTTCAGCTTAATATATAATTTTTTATCTTCCATATTTATTTAATTAAATTTTTCCACATCTTTGGTAAAAAATAAAAAATAATCTAAAAATTTAAGCAAATAATTGAAAAATTTATCACCCAAAAATCTCCTAATATCAGCATTTTCATTTTAAAACAGTTAGCACCGAAATAATTTATTTAATTTAAAAATTGCGCCTTGGAGTATTTTGGAAAACTAAATCGCAAACTTTAAAAATATTATTTCGCAACTACCTGTTTATCAACAGAAAATTGATTGAGAATTATAAAAATTCTTAATCGTTTTTTTTCTCTATTTATTGAGCTGGCACTATATTTACCATTTTTATCTAGAGTTTAAAAAAACTCATCAGTTCCAATTTTTTATATATTTTTACGATGGTTGTATTAGATCACATATCACATTTCTGTCTGTCTGGCGTTTGATAATTTTTTAATGACTCTCAAACGCGGAGATGCATCCAAAGTCCATCAAGCGATTTGTGATACCAACATACTATCCTGTTGAAATCACTGAAAGAAATTGCGGAATTGTGATCGTTGTGTGCTTTATAAGTCGTTTCCTTTCTTTTTTATTCAACGTCATTTGCATCGTCAGCCTGCCTCTGTAGAAAGAGAAAATATGCGTTCGAAATAAACTTCCGTCAAATGGAACAATCAACAGATCTAGTTGATTCTCCTATTGATGATCGTCGCACAAAAGGCTCTGCATGAACTTATTTGTAAACAAGGTCAATCGTAAGCCACAGTATTGAAAATTGCGAAAAGTTTACATTATGTACACTCAGGCTGGTTTCCTTAGGTTCCACACTCAATAGAGATCGTGTGGCGTTAATGTGGAACTTTCCACTTCTTACTGTATAATTACGCGATCAGCTAGACAGTTGTTTTAATTGCCTTTTTTCTATCCAGAATATTCAAGAAGGATAAATAATGTGGAAACTTCCACATTCAACATTACTCGTGACGTTATTCGAAATCCAAAGGAAAAAAAAATTTGAAAATGTGAAGAAAAAAAAAAGGATAAATGCCGTAAAATTTAATTTAAACGAAGTACATTTTTAATTATTGTATCTTTTCTTAACCATTTTAAACCAGCTTTGTTTTTGTTCAAAACACCTCCCAGCTATCTTTAGAGCGCATCAATATTTATACATGACAAGCGCCTAATTGTAAATATACAAGTTTTTATAATTATAGCATGGGCCAGAAGCAGAATTTTTATTGGTGTCTGGGTCTGACTAAAACCAGTCTTTTTTTTTAATTTTACAACTCCCAAAATGATTAAAATTGCTTTTCGTTTTTGCCTGTTAAGGCCGGAAGCAGTATTAAATTAAAAGAGAAAATAAAACATGTTTTAAATTTATCCCAAGGCGCCCGTCGCCAACTAAAAGAAGATTGACCGCTCCTCTATATGTGTTGAACCGATACACTGCTGTGCATTGTGTTTTTGTGCGATTGCGGAGAGCACGACAATGAACTTGACCGCGTGTCTGCTCCCGGAGCGTTGATATTCGCAACAAGCAAAACGTTTTAAAGATACTCGTAGCTTCAAAAGGTCCATCCTGTCCCTACTTTGATTATTTTATACAATTAAATACAGTAATTTTTTCAATAATTATAAATCGTCTGCAAACACATTAAATTTAATAAATAAAAATCCTTAATAAATAATTTACAATATAAATGATAAATCTTACCACCTGTTTTTTTTCTCAATAATATTTTTAATTTACCTGCAATTCTGCTGGATGGGCGAACCGGACGACGGGGGTTTCAGGGTCGCGGGGGTTGAGGAGACCCTCCTCCCGCAGCACCTGCACCACGTCTTCGGGAAAGGTCGCTGCGTCCATGTCGTATTCTAGGTGAGGTTGGAGTCAGACTGGCCGCCAGTCGCCGTGAAAAGCCTCTTTTCTGTGAGCAACTCGGCCGCCGGACGAAGAGAGGGAATCGTTTCTCACTCAGTCGCGAGTAAAAAGTCGACGCTTGCCACGGACCCTACTCTCCTCAAGTCATACGTGTGTGTATTCTTCTTGTTGTCCTCGCGCCACAATCCTTGAGAGATAACGTGAGGGCTTTGTATCTTCAAGCGGTCCACGAATACATCCGATGATATTCACTTCCAAAGTTAGCACCGGCAAATCGCAAAAGCTAACTTAATTAACATGCTAATATCCCCGGTGAATTTTACATCCACATCAAAGAAGTAAAAAAAAACTTCTCTCCTTTACTTTTGTATTGTAAAATAAATTTAATTCGTCAAGATTTCAGAAAATTTTAAGAGAACCTTTGGATTTTTCAGTTTCGTCATACGTCATAACTTTAAAAAACCTTATAAATTGATTTATATAATTATCTTATCTTCCATCTTTGACCCATCAAAAGATAGAAATTCCCAATTTTCTGTAGAGCTTTTCAGAAGAAAAATAATGTTTTCTTTTGCAAAGGTAATCGTGAGTGTCAATTTCTAATCTCATAAGAACAGCTCTCTTGTCCTTTGATCCCAGTAGGTGCGGGAAAACCCCAGAGAGATTTTGCGGTCCGGAGATAAGTTAACAAAAACCCATAATTTTTTTCAATAATGTTGACACGCTCCGAAGAGTCAAAATGCTGTCGCATGTAATCTAAATTGCGTGTTCCAGTCTGGCGCTGATAAGAAATAATTATATAAAGTTGTGTCTGCTTGGCCCATATTATGATTTCTACGCAGCATAAGTGACCTTAAAAGTACCTTACTATCTTTTATTTGGTTTTTAAAATTAGATTTTCATTTGTAGATTGAAAACTTTCTTGGACGTGACGAAAGACCAATAAAAATTTAAATAAATCAACCATTAAATCACAATATTTGAGCATGCTGGATGTAACAACTGCAACTTAAAAACAACCCTCTATAAAAACTTCAACTATTTTCTAATTTTGCAATCTTAAGATCAAGGAGATCTAGAGAGAAATTTTTAAATTTATATTTGTATAGATCAGTAAATTTAATTAAAATTTATGCGCAGTACTTGACATTAATTTTAGAGAACTAAATAGGATTAATTACTAAAAGAAGTTTAGACTGCCTCCGCTGAGCAGTGCATCCAAAGCCTTTTGGATGTTGGGGTCCTGCAGCATGGGTGTAGCTGAGGCTGGCAGATTTGGCATTTGCGGCATTGGAGGCATTTTCATCATTGGGGGAGCTGCTAGGGCTGATGACATCGGCAGCTCGGGTGGCTTCTTTAGGGTTTTGTCCATGATGCTCATGATTCGGTTCTTCAGAAGATCCTCTGCAGGGTTGTTGTCTGGCTTGGCAACTGTTATGAGATACAAGTTTTCTTTATATTTTATGATTTTAACTTTTTGCGATCAATTACCTTCCATGGTGACGGAGAGAGCGTCGCCAATTTCCAGTTTCGCCTGTTTAGTTTTCAGATGGTCCAAGTACTTAATGAAGGCATCGTACTGCATCACAGTCAGAGGCCGATTTTGTAGGAGCAGATTGGTCATGGTCTGAATTGCATCAGGGTGGATGCTCGGACCTACAGATAGTTTGATATATTATTTCAAAATTTCAAAACTTTTATTCCTTTTATTAATTACCAGAACTTCCAACCATTGGGACAAGAGCTGGGGCTGTCCGGCTGCCTCCGTTCTGGATGTACTTGTCAAAATTGACCATGATGACGTTAATTCCTTGCTCAAACGGAATGTTTCTGTGTTCTGAAATAGCAATATAAATTTATTCCCATAATCATATATAAAATTACATAAAAAAACATGCTGCATCATTAAGTAAAAATTGATATAAAAGTGCAGACAAAAATTTAACACTGATAAAAAAAATGAAAGGAAACAATTAAGCAATACAAACATGAAATTAACAAATATTTAATTATGGGAAAAAAATCATTCCAAAAAGGAGCCACCTTTTTCAGTACCTTCTGTATTTCCTTAGTTAAGCAAATCGACACATCAAGAATTGAAGGGAAATAATATTCGGTTTAAAAAAATGTAAATACCTTCGGAGTCTCCTTGAAGAATATTCACGGTGAAACTTTCTTTGACTTCATTGATAGGATAGACATTTATTGCATAAAGAGTTCCTTTATTGGCAATGCTTGCAAGCAACCTTCCTACAGGTATGCTTGCGTTGGGAAAGAGAATGTCTGCAGACAAGCCAAGATTCTTCAACTTTTGCTCAATTGTCTCTCCATAAATCCTATATTTATAAAAATTTTAATTATAAATTTCAGAAATTTAATCCTAAAACACCACTATTTAAAAATTGAATCATTGAATACAAATACAAAAACCTATGATTTTCATAATTCAAGGGCCACATCTTACGTTTGTGCTCTATCAAAAATGAGTATTTCGCAATCATTGGTTCTCTCTGCAGCATTTGGTACTTTTGGTGGAGGTCTTGGAGCTGCTGGTGCTGGTCCAGGAGGCCCAGGAGGGAATCTTTGCTGAGGGGCGTTAAAAGGGTTGTTGTCGTACTGTTCCGACGAGAAGTCGTCATTAAACCGTGGCCTGCAAGGTGCATATTATTAGCCCTAAAAGACGCCAAGTGTTTCAAAATTTACCTCCAGGTATCCCTGGGTGGAGACCTGTTTTCCCTGGGCGGAGAACGACCCCTTCTCGGAGGAGAATGGCCTCGAATTTGACGAACAGGTGAACGTTTTCTATTAGGCGACCTGTCTCGAAACAAATTATCCCCAGGCGGCACTGGTTGAATTCTAGCCGGCGTGACCTCTAAAAAATTCAAAATTTTTAAACTTTGTATAGGTTTTTTGTTATTACAAACGCACTGATCATTTTGCCCATGAAGGTGGTGTTGTTCTCCATTTGGATGGCACACGAGGCTGCCTCTTCTGCGTCGAACTGAATCAAAGTGAACCCTTTCATACAGAGGATACCTAAAAACATTAAACTATTCTTTAATTTCTTCATACGTAAATTTAACTTTTCAAACCTAAAATATTTCCATATTTTTCAAAGTGTTTTCCAAGCTCTTCTTTAATTTGAAACTGGTTGCTGTTTGAAGGAGTGTTTTTAACACAAATACGACTCCGAGCTGTGTTGGGGTTGTTGAAATCCCGTGACTCCATCGTAGAAGAAGTTGACACGGCAATAATATCCCTCCGAAGACAGCAAAATCAGTCTGAACTGTCTAAAAGAATTGTTTGTTGTTTTTTCATTCAATCCACCGTGATCCACCGGTGCTGTTTGTTGTTTTTCGGGAATGAAGGAGAGGGGAGAACTGCAGCTGGCCAATCAAAATTGTTGAGGAGCAAAATTCTGCTCTCCTATTGGAGATCAGATTGTCAAGTGGGTTGCTGGCTTAAATTTTCTCAGGCGTCATCCTGGACTGCTGCAATTTTCGTTTCCACTCAAGTTAGTATTATGTATTACACATAAGAGATTACTTAATTTATTTAATATTTAGAAAATATATGCATTTCTATAAATTTTCTTTTAAAATATGTCATAATGTATTGCAATGGATTTTAATAAATAAATCAAAAATAAAATAGATATAAACAGCTTTACGCATAATTTAATTTTGTTTATTAATAACCATAATTTAACAATAAAGGCCTGCTGAAATCAATTCGCATTATTTCAAATAATTTCCACTAGAATTTCGCCCCAATTGAGAGCTGGCTAATTGTGCACGCTGGGCATGAAGATTGCAACATAATTAGTGTGAAGGAGCTGTTGGAGTCTAAAGAGAATGCTGATGTTTTATTCATAATTTTCTCTAACTGGGAATCACTCCCGAGTTTGACATATTTGTCAGGCGTTGGTTATTATTTTAAATAAATTGGTGGTGCATCCAACGTAAAAAAGGCTTTGCTATTTTATATGCAGCAGTCAGTCCAAATAAATGAAAAAAAAATCGCACACAAAAACCGAAGCGGCCAACACAAGTATTCCACCAGAGTCTCAGCAAGAGGCAGTCGGATCAGTCCGTCGACTGCTCTAGCGTGAGAAGACGTAATCACTTAATGCAGCGCTCAAAGTACTGCGATCCCACGTAGCCACCACGCATTGCCTTCTGGACGTTCTGCTCAAACAACCGTCTATTGTTCTGCAAAACGTCAGCTGCCTCCTTGTTTAGCGGATCCTCAGGGTTTGGCTCCTGAAATAATACGCAAATTAATAAAAGTGAAGTATTTCCAATTATCAAAAGTTAAACAATTTTGTTGTAGAATTCCACAGTCAAGGTTTGATTCATAGTGATTTGAATGTAAATTTGGCTTTATATCTCCATGGGTTTTGTGAGTTGTTTATTCTTTAAGACTTCTCTCAACTAAAGCCAAGAAAACTCATGAATTATGGCTGCAGCCCACAGCCAAAACATGTAGAACAAGAAATTTTCTCTAAAACAATGAACAGTTTACAAAAACCATCAACGAAAAGCCAAATTTAAGTTAAAATCACCCTGTTAAAAAACATTATTTATTTTTTAATGAGAAATTTAATGTTCTTTATTTATTAGAAAAATGTTCATTTTCACAACTTAAACTTGCCTGAGAGTTAAACTGAAATTGTTTACTATCATAGTTTATAAAATTGACCTCGATGGGGTTTGGGTCATTTATGATCGATTCGTAGAAAATAAAAATTTATTATCCTGCTTGCAACAAAAAAAAAAAAACTATACAAAACCCCACTGAGCAAAAAGCCAAATTGAAAAACCATGAGTCAACCCTCGATTGAAAAATTCGCTAAAAATATATAATTTTAACTCAAATACATATTCTATTTATTTGGTATAATTACCAGGAAGAGGTACTGCAATCCATAAATAATGCTGTTGATGGTCAGCACTGGTTTCCAGTCCTCTCGCAGGATGTTGAGGCACACATTTCCCTCGAGGTCAATGTTTGGGTGGTAAATTTTTGTGTCACACTTGACCTTGGGCGGTTCGTGTGGGTAGTTGGGCCCCACCTTGAAGCTGAAAACAAACTGTCCACTCCGGTAGAAGCCCTGCGGAGAATCAACAAATTATGATTAATTGGTGCATCAATGATAAATTACGAAAGGGGCGAGATTTAAAGAGGAATTTTGCTCGGGGCTTTTTGGCAGGAAGGAGGTCGTGTCGTGATTGACATCATACTTCATCTGGACTGATGATTAGTTTGAAGTTGAGCAGGTCGTTCGGATCTGGGAATTCCGTGTCGCATGTCTTCGGCAGATTCAGCTCATTGAGATCTACGAGAGAGACGAGGAAGTGAATTAGAGCGAACTTTTTTTGCATAGAGAGGGCAAGAGAGAGCTGTGACGAACCTTTGGTTATGCGCAGCTGGGCGGCCGTGGCCTTCTTCTGGCCGCCGGGCTTGGGACACGCCTCGCCCTCTTTCTTCTGCTGCTTCAGGGAGAACAGCTTGATCATCGTGGAACTGTGGCGTTTATCGGCGGGGGGCCACTTTGACAGCACAGGCCATCAACCAAGGAACGATGCAGGTCCACTTGACGGAACAGAGACACAGAATTTCGCTTTCCTTGGACACCAGCAGATGGAGCAAACAAACGAATAAAAAGTTAATTTTTGAATTAATCGTTATCGATAGTTGAAAGAATTCTAGCCATTTTGCTCAAGTTTTGCCTCAGTTTTTGCGTAAAATGTCTTGTAAGCTCAAAAATTGTTCATGGAAATGTATTTTTTCAAATGAAATCCTGCTGAAAGTATTATATTTGAAGAAAATGAGCTAAAAATTTTAAGAGCCTATCGATGAGGCGATTCCACATGTTTGAATGAACGCATTTGGCGAAATCTGATTGGTTGAAAATGACATTTTAGCAACAACAACAAAAGAGCTCGCTGCGATGTGATTGGTCACGTGTTAAACCGGTTCTAGTAGAGGAGCAGAACCTGTTTTAATTCTTGATCGCAAAATCTACTAAATTACGCAAATATCTTTATTGGAGATTCATTGGAAACGATAAAAAGGTGTCAGAAGTGCGTTTAAAGTCTTAAACCATTATGTAACGACAACTTTGTGAACGTTTTTCACCGGTACGCAAGTCAGGTAGTTCACTCCGGTGCTCACCGTTAATTAGTAATGGCGCAATGAATTTCAGGCACTAATCTGCAAAATAGATAGCACTTGTCGGCGTTCCCTGAGTAATTGATGCGGTGATTCGCGCGGCTTCTCTTGTTATCCCTGCTCGCGGCTGCGGCGGCTGCGGAAGACATGGCGGCTGACAGCGAGGCCCCCGGCGCGGGGACCCGAGGACACAACTTTAAGGTGGTGCTGCTTGGCGAGGGCTGCGTAGGCAAGACGTCCCTTGTGATGCGCTACGTCGAGGACGTGTTCAATTCGAAGCACGTGACCACGCTGCAAGCGTCCTTCCTAAACAAGAAAATCAGTCTCGGAGGACGTCGAGTCAATCTGTCCATCTGGGACACCGCCGGACAAGAGCGCTTCCACGCCCTCGGGCCCATCTACTACCGAGCGTCCAACGGCGCCATCCTTGTATACGACATCACCGATCAGGACTCGTTCGAAAAAGTCTAAATCCTCTATGATGATTTTTGAGATATTAATTTTTCAAAATTTTTAGGCGAAAAATTGGGTGAAGGAGTTGAGAAAAATGCTTGGTGCTGACATCTGCCTCACCATTGTTGGTAACAAGATCGACCTCCAGAAGGACCAAACGGTGGATACGCAAGTTGCTGAAGAGTATGTTGGTTTTGTTCATTTCTTAAGTCTGACTTTATCATAAACGGATATTTAATTTTAAATGTTATGCAAACCAGCTACAAAATACATACATATTTTTTAATTTTTTTATATCAACTATACTTAGAACAGATTAAATGTACAAAAATAATTTCAATCCAAAATTTTAATAATACTCATGAAGACCAGATGAAGACGTAACTGATATTATGTATAATAGCTTATCGCACTAAAATTTTTAATTAAGGATTCTTTAATTCTGGGCTAAAATTAGTGTTATGCAATCATATATTATTATTATGCTTTCTGCTAAGAAAATTTGTCCGTGAATTTTTCAGAAAAACATTTTACTTCTGGCCACAACATAAATCATTTCATAGTTTTCCCTAATATTTATTAATTAATTATTTCATAGGGCTTCTTCCAGTTTCTGATTATATATATATAAAAAAAAAATGAAACTTCTGGCCACTTTTGCATCCAGTTTTTCTAGCTCTTGTGTCTGTTAGCATTAACATTTTTAATTTTATATAGTTATGCTTTTTTTCATTTCTCTTTTGATGACTTGTGCTAGATAACTTTTAAGAATTTTTACAGAAACTTAAACTTTTTTTATTTATCTTAATTTATTCCAGGTATGCAGAGTCAGTGAATGCACGCCACTGCTACACTTCTGCAAAACTGAACCAAGGAATCGAGGAGATGTTTCTGGACCTGTCAAAGCGGATGCTGGAAAAGGCGCAGCGCGACACAGAACAGCGGTTGGCCTCTGAATTTGGCAGCTCGAGGCGCAACGTGGTGGTTGTCGAGGATGGTGAGGAGGCGCAGGAAACATTGGGGCGCTCCTCATGCTGCTGACTTTCTTTATTAATCGAGCTGTGAAACTTTCAATGTTTAAAAATTATTCGTAATGCCTGCTTTCAACGATGTCAGAGACTTTGGTAGATAATTATGTAAAAAAAACATACACACGGGACTTGTGCTACGTTTGAAAGGTTACCTTTGCAAATCGTTTATTCATAATAATTGTTGCCTTTAATTTTTAAATTTAATTCGACTATGTGATCTAATTAAGAGGATCAGTGATGAGTAATCAACTTCTATTTTTGCCTATGGATTATATTGTATTATCGCTGTTGAGCTAGGTGCTATGCATTCATTAATCATTCATAACTATAAAATATACATACATAATAACTAAAATAAAGTTAAGGTCAACAAACAAAACGCATCTCAAACCCATTTCCCAGATATGCTCTAAATATTTTGTTGCAAGAATGTCTATTTGGATAAAGAATATTGATTTTAAATATCATTGAAGTATTCAAAAACTATTTTTAAAAAGCTGTATCATGAACCCAGGTGTGTTTTCAGGTGTTAACTTCAAAGAATGTAAAAATTGCAGTACTAAAATTCAATGTTATTTTAGAATCGGAGATATCAAAAAACTTTTATAACGAATTGAAAATCCAATGATTTATTGGTAAGAAACGATCTTTGAGTTGCAGAATCGACACAGTAACAATATTACATCATGAAAGGCACTTTTCAAAATAAATAAAAGTATAGTTGACAGTCTTGGAGGGATTCTTCTTTCTCAATGAAAAATTAAACATCATGTGTTGATTGATTGATTACTTATACAAATCGAGTGAAATGATGAAGACGGCGAGCGACGCGAGTGCGAGAATAAAAGTTGCGTAGGTGACGGTGCTCGCTCGCGTGCTGATCTACAATGTAGAATAATGAGAGCGTTCAAAAAATCTCATGAAGCAAACAAAAAGAGCGAAAGATGGATAGAGAGGGAGAGAGATGGCTAATACTACTTTCTGCGGAGTTAGTAAAACGAACGATTCGAGTTAGCGCGGCACGTGGGACAAATTACATATCACATTAATAGCTAAATATACAAATAATTAGAGTACGATTTTTAGAGATGGCAGAGAGGCGCGAACAAAAATGACCAGATAAAATGCGCGCTGCGGCGGCAGGTCTACAAAAGCGGAAACAAAATGACCATAGTTATAATAATCATAACACTGTAGTAATGTACAAGAGAAGTAGTTGTTGTCTACATTTTAAAAACGACGGCGACCATCCTAAGAAAATAGAGAAGCGTGGCTGCTGTTGCTGCTGCACTTGTTGGTCACTTGGACAGCTTGCTTATCACACGGATCAGGGCTCCGTTTTCATCTTTCAGCTTTTGATTTTCCTTTTTCAAGTTCTCCATCGTCTGAAAAGCAGCAGAGGCGATTTTAGTTGGCAGGCAAGGAGCAGGCAAGAGTGAAAAGAAAGCCGCAAGACAGGAGAGCAATGTTTTCAGTCACGAGAAAAAAATTAAAAATTAAGCATGCAGGTGCAGAAAAATAAATAAGGGGTCACTCCGAGGTTATAAATCCAAACAAGGAAAAAATAAAATAAAACTTCAGGGCTCGAACGAATTAATAAATGAAATAAATTTGATTGACTTTAATTTCGCGCAGTTGAAGGCCAATGATACAACTCTCTCTAGGTCCGAACCCTGATTATTTCAAGATTTCGGACTAACTGTAATGAAAAATGTGCGACACGATTTCAACAAAAAACGAACATGGATCGTGCATTTCTTTTTGAGACTTACAAAAGGCGGTGGGGACTGTTTTTGAAACGATTGGTTTTATGTGGGTTTATTTGGAGTGGTCGATAATTTGGAGACAACCCTAGTTAAAGCCCTATTTTCCGCTCTCAGCTTTTCATTCTCCGCTTTCAGCTTTTGAAATTGCTGCGAACACGGAGAGCAAAACAACAGCTTTTCCCGAGAGTGCAACGACTTGAGCTGTGGCCTAATTACCTTGAGCTCCTCCTCCATCTCCGCCAGCTTCCTTTCCATAGATCGACGCTCCCGCTTCTCAGTCTCTGACAATGACGACAGACTCCCAAGCTGTGTAACAAAAGTTTAAAATAAAAAAAAAAAAAAAAAAAATTAGTTCAACTTACTCTGACCGACGAGGTGTCCTTAAATTCCTCCTCAAACTTCTTCAACCGACTTTGCAACTTGTCATTCTCGAGGCGCATTTCCTCGTACAACTGCAAACATTTTCAAACCTGATCAGAACAACTTTCTTCACTTAATGTATGGATTCTAACCTTTTTATAGTCAACTTCGCCATTTTCTAGAGGTGAAACCTCATCCTCCTGTGCGGCAAGTCTCATACTTTGACTGGGGCGCTCATACTAACAAGAACAAAAATATATAAATTTTTCTCAAGTAGCTCTATTTTAGACTCACATCTTCGGCACGATTGCCTTCCGAGCCGGACTCCTGCCTCTCTGGATCGATATCCTTAAAAATATGGCCGAATTTTGATAAATATTGATAAAGAATTAATCTTCCAGTTGCTATCTTATAATTAAATTTTGGTCGTAAACCTTATCATTCCCAACACACGCTTTTATCTGTGCGTGCAATGTAAGCCTTTTAATTACTATAGGTAAATAACAAATGGCGAACAGACAAAAAAAATTAACAACTTACATCCATGTCAACGTGGACGACACCAGTGGAGCGTCTCTTTGGACGGCGACGACGCTGGATGACCGCTTGCGTCGCCTGGGCATTTCTGCTGTCATTCTCCTTATCTTGTTCTGCAAATTTATAAAATAAAAAAAGAAATTTTTAATTTTGTCAAAATTTGTGTAATTACAAATTGTAAAAAAAGCAATAAAAAATGGCTGGGAAGCACTTTGAAGACAATTTTTTTTTAAACGATTTTATTTGAGTTCTTTTGGGAATCAAATAATGCTATATTTATTTCATTAATTTGATAGAGTGAATTTATCCAACTTCACATAATATTTTTAAATAAATTATAATTATTTATTATTATATAATTATTATTATTATATAATTATTTAAAGTTATTTATTTTAATGCTTTCTATTCTCATAGAATTTTGGGGCCGAAACTTGTGGTTTGAACGGCCTACCTTTGTCATCGTGCGCTGGTAAAGCAGGTTTGGCGACCCCTTTACGCAAGGCGACCGTGACGCTGGCGTCAGGCGGCGCCGCCGCGGGGCCGCTCCGCTTGGGCTCGCCGCTAGCGTCCTCGAGCAGGAACTGCAACCAGAGAGAAGCAAAAACACGTTTAGTGGAAACCGCAGCGAACGAATCTCTCAATGTGCTCCACCCGGTTTTTGCGGCGAACACGGAAAACAACGGCAAAACAACCAACTGCGGTTAGTTGACGCACAAAACTTGTTAGCTGGCCGGCCGCCTTCGAACTTCACGACGCAGCCAATTTTATATAATTATTATCTAGCAATACATTTAGCCGGCTAAGTAAGTTCAAGAGTTAGCCACTACGAGCGACATTAAATGAGATACAAAGAGCAAACACACAACGGGGGTTATAGGACAGGGCGCTTTGTCTAGGAATTTAACTGAACGACTGCGATCGAAAATGGTAAAAAAATTGATCAAAGTAAATAATAAATAAAACAAGATGAAAAAAAAACAATGGAAAAATCGCTACGACATTCTGCAAACCTAAGCATCTAAAGTCCTGATTTCTCTTATCAAAATGAGTGTCATCGTGGGAAGGAAAGCAAATTTGTTCCCAACTGGTTTTGATGAAGATTAATTTTTTTTTTCTTTTTTTAGAATAAAATTGCAACATTTTAAATTGAATACTTAATGATGAATAGAAAATACAATATAAAATAAATTGATTTTAATTTTTTATGGACTGTAGATGCTAGGAGGCTATTTGACGGAAGACGGGGGCTACGACATGGTCGCGTCGCGGGGTCAGAGGACAGCACGGGGGGCACACCTTAGAGCCGGAAGGGTCGAGCTGGAGTCGCCAGCTGGGACGCCTCTCAGACTTGGCCGATTCGGCGACGGCGGCGCTTTTGCCGATTGCCGGGGGCGGTGGGGGCTGCGGCTGCTGCTGAGGGGCCTGAAAACGGGCGCTTTTTCATCCAATTCCGGTCCACAAAATCGTGGGCAAGAGATAGAAAATCCGGTAAAAAAAACTGAGTAAAATTTTGGAATGGAGACGTTTAAGGGCATTTTCTTTTATGGCAAAATTATAAGGCGATAGACCCACTGGAAAAAAAACTCAAAAACACAGAGTATTTTTATAACAAAAACGTAACAAATGTTTAAATTGAGGTGTAAATAAATTCAGGGAAATAGATAAAAAAAAAAAGTGCAATCAGTAAATTTTGAACTCCCTCGATATATAAATACAATTTAAAATAGTTTAATTAAAAATCTTGAACAAGATTCAATTCTGCGAAGTGGATTTTGCTGGCACGCGTCACTTGGCCGCTGCACCGCAAGGTCGCTTAACCACCAGGGGAGGAATGCGTTCGTACGAGAGTGTGTGTATCTGACATTTGAAACCGGAGAGCGTGCAGCCGGCTTGAAATAGTCGACGTGTGCGGTGAGTCGTTTGCTTATTTACAGGTCGCTTTTTTAAGTGAGAGAATTGTTACAACTCTGAGATTAGGGGGCGCAACAGACGCTCTTGGGGGGCTGGGGACTGACCTGCTGTGAGGGAGCGGCGGTCACGGTCGTACTGGCCGACGTCTCGGCCGGGCTTGAACTCTGCTGGTGCTTCTTGCGGACGAGCTGCTCGGCCGTTTTGATCTCCTCAAGGGTGACACCCTGCGTCGAGCGCCGCGTTTCACGCACCCGCTTGGCGTGCGCCTTGCGCTGCGTCTCGCTCTCCTCGTCCCGGACCGGTGGCACAAACGACCTGTTTGACGAGAAGATAATAAAAACGACAAAGAAAAAGAAGAGACAATTCCAAAACAGAGAAATTCGAAAGGTGAATCACAAAAAAAAATGCACAAACTGCTAGACGCAAACTTATTTGAGGAATGTCAGCAACGGTGCTGTGTAAGGAAAAGGAGATGAAAAGCGCACAAAGCCAAAATCATCACAGCCTAGACCTCACTGGTTAAGAACCCAGAGAGAATTTAAAACAAATCTGAATTTGAAGTCATAAAAATAAAAGAATTAAATAAATCTTCAAAAGGTAATTACCTAAAATTCAAAAAAGGTAATTGAGTATAAAAATACTTTCCATTATTAAAATAAATTTTTTTTGTCAAATCAGAGCTTCATGCTTTGTCCAATGCTCAATGAAAAAAAAATAGTTTCATTGTTTCAGTTTTGTTCAAATCCTTGCACTTTCGTGTGCACTTTATCAAGGTCTAGGCAATCACGAGCATGCAGCAATCCATAAAATGAGGGCGCTTCTGGCAATCAAACCAACTTGGAGGTACTCAGAGATACGCACTTAAACAAGTTTTTGAAGATATTGCCTGGACTAAGTTTGCTGCCGCTCTGGGTTGGAGTGACGGGCACTGAGGACGATCCCAACAGACTACCCCAAACAGGGAGAACCATTACACTTGTGATTTCACCAAAAATTTAGGTGCCCCAATAGTAACCTCCACCACCAAAAATATTAAGAAAAATTTTATTTTACCTGCGCACTTGGCCCAGTCCAGGCAGCAATGTGGGAGATACTGGATCTTTTGCCTCTCTGAAAATATGAAAAGAAAAACAAATTAATAATGTCAGTTTAAATCAATCTATAGAGGGAATTACTTTGCTTCATCCAAGCTCGCTGTCCGTCGCAAAACAACTTCCTGAGCTCCACTTTGGTCAGTTGCCCCTGAAATAATACACATTAAAGAAGAGATAGATTATTTAAATATTTCAAGAGATAGTAAATTTAAATATAGAGACTCAACATACTTTGAGATCTTTCTCCATTTCTCGATCTTGCAGAACCAGATCTTCTCCACGAGGGGATGCCTCCAATTTCCAAGTCTGTTGGCGGCTTTGGAGGACTTTTGGGTGCCTGAGTAATTTAACAATAAGAAAAATTCCCACAACTAGCCATGAAAAACTTACAGAGAGCTGGGTAACATCTGCGCCATTTACACGATTCCTTACATCTGAAAGAGAAAGGTCCAAAAATTAATTTCAATGAATGTGAAGAAGCGCGCGTACCTTCATCACATGACATTGGCAAATCCTCTGTTTGTGACCAGCCAAATATATTAAAAATTAGACTAACTTTGTAAACAAAAACGCGCTTCTTTTTTAAGTTACCTAACTCACTCTCTTCTGAAGTGCCAGTCGTACTGACAGACTCTTCCGACAGCTCGTTGGTTTGCGACTCCTCGACGCCCCTGTTGTCCAGATTCTCATTAGGGCTGATCAATTATTTTTATTGATAAACCACCCAATTAAACTCTATTCATACCTATTTCTATTGTCATCAGCGGGCGCTGCGACCTCGGTCAGAATAATGACATCCATAGAGCGGCGCTTGCCTGGCGTGGTCGTCCTGCTACCCGAGCGCTTGGCTGGCAGCACAGGCCGGTTTTTAAGCAGCGCCGCCTGGTTCTTCTTCATCTCCTGCAAACTGCTCAGCACCTCTGGGTCAGCAATGTCCTCCGCCGTCTGACCCTGCAATTAATTGAACCCAATTGTCAACGGCGACAACAATACCCTCATTGAACGTATGTTATTGAGCAACCGTGGGAAATGTTTTGACTATTTAATTCAATGAGCAAAAAAAAATAGTCAACAGCAAAATAATCTGCTGACATTCAATTTGGTGAATATTAAAAAGAAAAAATAAACTTACAACAAAATTCTTGACTTCCATGTCGCACAAGTTGTCAATGAGTAGTTGACAAGCATCCTTCTGCGCCCAATGAGACGCAGCATGCAGAGGTGTCCAGCCGTCCGAGTCTTGCCCGTTCACGTCAGCTCCTGCTTGCAAAAGCATTCTGCAGAGAATCCAAATTATTTATCAAACCAGAAGAAAGGCATTCAAAATTTACTTCATGACTTGGATGTATCCCTTGGCAGAGGCCACGTGCAGTGCAGTGGCGCCAGTCTTGGGGTGCGGCTGGTCACAGATCTCCCCTGCTTTAAGCCACTCTTTGGCGTCGGCCAGCATAAGGTTCTCCTCTTTGTTCCTGGCCGCATCACAGTCTATTCCTGAAAGGAAATTTTTGTATAAAATTAATTAAAATCGTTAATGAAAATGATAAAACATAAAAGTCCCTTTTTTAAACAAGAAATTCTTGATAGACATTATTTGCTTCTGAAACCTCAAACTTTTCCCAAATATTTCAAATAAGTAATAAAAATAATCAAAGCATTCCTTTGACCCAAAACAAACATTTTTAGCCTAGAAATCGGAATTCAGTCCTAGTGATCAATTAATGACAAGCTGTCTAAAAATAGATGTCCTTGGAAAAGCAGTGCTCTCGCCTTTTAACTTTTAAGAAGAGTGGCCACTAACTTTTTATGGCAAATTAAAATAGACCAACGACCAACGATCACTAACAGCTGCACTGCTCTTGTTGTGAATGGGAGACCAAGACTTGCATGCTAAAATTTGTAATTTCTTACCCTTGGCGTTGACGAAGCTGAGCAGGAGAAGTTCCATTTCGTCCGACTCGGCAATGTCGACGGGCAGTTCGCCGTCGTTGTTGACGGCGGCCACGTCCGCGCCCTTCTCGATCAGCAGACGGGCGATGCTCTTGAAGCCGCACGAGGCCGACGCGTGCAGCGGGGTCCAGCCCTCGTTGTCGCCGCGGTTTACGTCGGCGCCGCGTTTCACCAGGAACTCAACCATCTCTAGGTTGTCGTCAATACACGCCTAACAAACATAATAGGGAATAGTAATTAAAAAAACGTACTTATTTCACAAACATATTTTGTTTACAAAACTCCAACAAATGGCGCTCGATACTTAAAAAATTATCTCTTCCTTAAATCGGTAACATTTCATAAATCATTACTTTCTCCTAAAGATTTGCCCAATTTTTCAAAAAGGGAAAGGAAGTGATATTAAAGATTTACAATTCCTCGCAAAAAGTCACCAAAATTTCACAAGACTATTTGATTTCCTAGGTCGAAAAACATACTAATTTTGTTTTAATTGTTTGCATGTTTGTACTTTGTACGTTTATTTTCATTCAAAATAAATTTTTTTTCATTTAAAATCCCGATTGATGTTTCTCGTTATGGGTAATGATTGCCACTTTGGTATAACAATAAAATATTGTTATGCAACTACATAAAAATAAGAAGTCTTTAAAATTAAGATATGTAATTAAATTTAAAAAGTTTTACTTTGAAATTTGCACGCCTTAAAACCCGTTAAAACCTATCCCATTCATAAATATACCCACAGCGTCATCATAGGAAATTTCAATTTTTAGTAACAATTGCGAATAACTGACCACAAACTTCCGCATTGCTCTGTGACGTAAGAAGGAAGCAAAGGATGAAGAATGTCATCATTTTTAAAATCCTCATCATGCAAAATTTCTTTCCTTGTACGTACAAAATTAAAATAACTTTATGACTATCTTTAATTAAAATTTTAAATCAGATAGAAGACTATTAAGAAATTTCTTCTGTCTCTTTACTTTTACTTATTCCAAAAAAATTTTGAAAAATTAATTAAAATGGTTTTAATTTGTGAATAAAATCGAAATTGAAAAACAACATACTAATTTTTTGTCTATGATTTTAAGCTCTTTAGTTCTCGTCTCATTTCCTGAAAATTCCCAAGAATTTTATTGATTTAATTTGAATATTATTTGAAATTTAATATGAATTAAGAAATTGTTTGCTATCCACTTAAATTTTTTCAAATACTTTTTTAATAATTCTTTGTTTCAACACTCATCTCTCTAAATAAAAATACTTTATAAAAAGTAGAAACTGAAAAAATTCTTGCTCAATCCTGGACTTTCTTTATTGTAAAATTACTGTTGTTTTGTAAAAAACAGTAGATTAAGTTGGACCAAAGTCAATGTAAGCAATCATCGAAATAATAAGACTTTAAACGAATAATAAAACTTTCGAGCTCCAAAAAAGGCAAAGATATAAATTTCCCTAACGAAGACTTTCTGTTGCACGAATCGCATGAACCATAAAATCATCGGGAAAATGAAGCTAAAGGTCCACTATTGAGTTGTACAAATGTACAGGTATGCCAATCCTTAACTGTTGCACTCGAAACAAAAATAAGGTAAATTTCGGGCAAAACAAAAAAGGGGGCGTGACCCTGGGCGTGGCGGCACCGACGGCCGTGGCCGCCTGCTGACGGCTGGGCCGCCGGAGTGTGCGGCTCCAGCCCGGAGGCTGTCAGCAGGAGCCAAAAAAAGCAACGCTCTCGTCAAAAATAGTCACGACGGGTAGCGCGAAAGCGGCGGCAAAGGGAGCGAGAGATCGAGCGCCATCTTGGAACGGGGCGAGCCCTTTTATGGCGAAAAATCGGCGACGGGCACCTGGTGCAGGGCGGTGAGGCCGTCTACGTTGGCCGTGTCAATGTCGGCCCCGGCACCAAGCAGACGGTCAACCTCGTCAAGGTCTCCGGCGGCGCAGGCGGCCAGGAAGACGCAGCCGGCCGAGAAGCGCACCTTCCTGCGCTCTCCTCGCTTCGGCATCGTTGACTCTGCATTGGTCTTTGATTCCTCCCATTGTTTCAGCTGCTCAGCCCGCTTGAACAGCGCCGAGTTGTTGCGCGTCTCCAGCGACATCCCGCACGTCCGACGCGCATCCAGCAACCCTGCTTCGGACGGACGCACGCTCGCTTCGGAACACCGAGCCACGACACTTCACTTTTCTCTTTGATCTCTCTCGCTCGGCTCTCTCGGCCGTGTGCTTTCTTCTTCTTTCTTGTTCCCGACGGCGCCTCTCGCGGTCGCTCGGGTCGACAATCTCTCTCGTAAACAGTTCTGAAAACAGCCACGGGAATCGCTAAATAGCAGAACCAGTCCTTTAAAAGGGTAGTAGGAGAAGGAGTTGTGAATCTTGCAGTAAACTATGTTTAAAAACTAGCTTTTATAACCTTTCTCCGGAATAAATTTTTTTATTTTTTATATTTATAACTATAATTTCATTTATTTTCTCCTTGAATTTATTCATATTTAGTACTTTTTAAAACAAATCTTTCAAAAACTCTAACTCTCTTACCTACACACATCTCGATCTCACTTGATTAAAATCAACATTAAAATTTTGACATTTTGGAATCATCATTAAAAACTTATTTTCCATCGAATTCTGGGATTTCTTGCAACTAATTCAAGTGCAGCGAGGAAGATGAGTGAAAAGGGTACCTTTCTGGGTAACCGGTTGCCACCGTACATGAAGACATTCTCCAAGAACGCCGGAAATATCTCTAAAAACACATTCCGACTTCTAATTCAATGTAAGAAATTTTCGAAATTTTAACACAGCCCCTGCAAATTTAGAATAAACGCAACCCGCTTGCCGGTTGTGCGATCGGTGGTTGCATACATGCTTGAAATGAAGGCGTTACTACATACCTGTTAGCCTGTTAGACGCCAATTTTTAAGTTATGTAGGTGAAAAGACTGCACCTGCTTATTAATAGTTTTTCAATCATACTTAATTATTTATTTTTAGATAAATTTATTTGTTTCTAATTTTATGTGTATTTATAACTAAGAATTCTGTACTAAATTCAAAATTTTAATTACAGTGGCAGTCAATTTGATTGAGAAGCGGCCGATTGTGGACGGCGCTCTGCAGAAAGTCGAAGCTCAGGTGGGGCCCATCGAAAATCTTGAGCAGCTTTTCGCTGGTGTTTTCTTCCTCATCAACACATTTCTTCGACAACCATCTGGATCTGTTAAAAAAGAACTATTGGCTGACGATCTTAAAGAACTCAAGTAATGTTCTACTTTTTTGCTAAAACAAATTATATTAACTATTTCCTTTTTCTATTCTCAGACTGAATGATGAATCGGTGGCTGATCTTACAAGTGTTCTATATGGGCCAAAAGCAGCCATCTGGGAGAAAAGTTTGACATCTGAAACACCACGCTGGCCGAGCATCCAGTTGCTGAATTGGAGTCTCGATATGACCGTTTCAGAAAGGTATAATTTAATAACTGTGATACTTGAAATGCCTATTATAAATAATCTGGTTTTATTTCGTAATAGTGAAAACAAAGTTTTCGAACCTTGTCTGGTGCTGGAGCTTGAGTTGTCCAACGCTGAAAAACACAAATTTCACATGACCATTGGACAGTTTCATAAGCTGCGACACCGAGTTGCAGCCCTTCTCGCTGAAATGGCCTCGCTGGAGAAGAGGAGCTTTTTCAAACAGTGATAAATTTTATCCATCAGAAAATTATCAATGCATGCAACTTTTTGCGTAGCAGAATCAAATAAATTTCTCGTTTTGATAAATGAATTCAAAACTATTTAAAGTATATTCACCACTAAGTGGTGTGAACAGAGTAAAATAAATAATAAATTTCCATAAAAAAAATCACTTTACAACCAGGTTTTATAATTACAAATTAACTCCCATTATAACAATAATTTTTCATTTAACAGAGCTGTTGTAAAAATTGGTGGGGGATACATAGTCTTCAATGGTCCTCCAAGAACAGAATCATTGCTTCCAACATGGTTTTCCCGGGAGAACTAGTGGCTTTAATATCCTCCCGTATTTTAATCTTATTTGTTCCAAGACCTTTTTTGTAATTAAAAAAAGAATGGAACATTCTTTCAGCGAATTCTGAAATTAAGAAATTTCTGGTATTAGCTTAACCAATACATTGTAATATAAAATTAAAAAAAAAATCCAGGAAAACCCCAGTAAAATTCAGCTGATTAGATTTCCGCTCGCTGCAAGTGACTTCCAATCGCATATGAGTTCATGGGCATTTGCACGCCTTCGGTAATCACGATGGCGGTGCGTAAGAAAAGTCCCACCTACGGTGTCATGAGGAAGCTTGTTATCAGTTTCGACTGAGTTGCACGTCACAAAATTTCACTCACTATTGTCAGTGTGGCTCCATACGGTGCGGCGTCAGTCGACTTTTGGATTTGAGACTTATTGCACTGTCTTCAGATTCCTAAAAGACAGAGGTGAGTTGCTCATTAATAGTAAGTGCTGCAGAGAGTTCTATTGTTTTAATTTGCGCTTTATTTTTACTTTCCACCTGCTGTTTTAATAGCTTTTTCCAAAAATATAAAGCACGCGAAAAATCTTCCGTTTTTAGCTAAAAAAAAAAAAACTTTTGCAAGGAATTGATTCTTTATTTTGAATCTTTTTTTTTAAGAATTCCCTTGTATGTCTTTAATTAATAAAAAAAATATGCCCGCTAGCAGAGTCACCTGCTCACTTTGTGCTCCATAGGCGGAGATAAGAAAAGAGTATGCCAGGATAAATCTATATAGTGCTGCCCCTGCTTATCACAACACAAACTCTTCTTGCTCTCTCGCCACATGTAGAATCAAAGCTCTGACAATGAACCGCGGAGAAACTTGTTTGCCTTATTGCAAAATAATGTGGAAATGAGATCACTGAAAAAAGCAGAATCTCCCCGAGTGAAAAACACACATTGATATTATAACCAGATAGAGATAATTTTATTTTTCATAAACCATAGTCTATGCAATTAATGTTTAGCTAGATTTAATTTTTATTATTTCTGATCACTGCAGAATTTAACCTCTTATAGCAATTTGATTGTTGGTATTTTTAAGTTTTGGAATTTTAGGTAATGCTAATTATAAATAAATTTTACTGCATGCAAAATAAACAGTTGATCATAAATTTGTAATTTTTCAAAACACATCTTCTGTAATTTCAAACCAAAAAACCATAAAAAAGACAAAAATTATCAGTAACTATTAAACTATTTAGAATTAACAACATTTACTGATAATGTTCATATTTCTTAAAATAACAGAAATTTACAAAACATAATTTGAATTTATTTTTTATTTTTCAAAAGGAAAATAATTGATATATCTAGAATAAATTTATATTTTGAGAATCAGTAAAGCAAATAATAAAGCCCCTCTTTAGGATTCGTTTATATTTATGCAGATTGAAATTTTATTGTTTTTCCATTGTTCTTTTTTTTCTTTGGAGATATTTAAAATTTGAAATATTTTCTTAATTTTGCTAAAAAAAAATAAAAACAAGTGCTATTTAACTTTTAAGACGAAGATTGAAGGACAAAAATTGTCACACTTTCGCGTCTCAGGAAATGATGTCCGAGTGGCCGAAGCAGCAACAGCCTGCCCAGGAGCAGCCTGCTCCGAGCGCACCCCTTCCTCCGGGGGCGCCAGCCAGTTCAGGGGTGCCTACAGGTCACGGGATCGGCTCAAGCAGCGGCGGCATCGGTGGAATCCAGCTCGACCTGTCACACTTCATCCGCACCATCCCTGGGATCCTGAAATTGGTGCAGTTCGTCTTTGGGATTATTTGCATCGCGTGCTCAGCTCCTGCCCTACTCGCGGGAACTCACTGGTTCCTCTTCGTCGTGGTCACCTCATTCCTCATTACTTTCCTCTGGATAATCATCTACTTGTTTTGCATTAAGGAGGTGTTCAAAGCCATCCCTTGGAACTTGGTTGTAAGTAAAACGTAAAATTAAAATACATCTATTTATGAAAATTAAATTTAAAAAAAATTACATTAACGGTTGGAAAATGTTAATTTAATTATTTAATTTAACAAAAAATTTTACCAAAAATGTTGTGCATAATTTAAATTTGATGAAAAATGGCATATTTTTGACTGAGAATATATTAATTATCAATAAATATCTCATTTATATTACTTGATTAAGTTGTATATTGAAATTCGTTGCAAAAAATAGCATTTAATGAATTTAAAAAAATATTCAACAGGAACTGGCGTGTCACGGGGGCATCTCTGTATTGTACTTGACTGCATTTATCACACAGCTTGCCATCTGGTCTCCTTATACTGGTGGGGTCACAGATGCAAATTTGGCCGCTGGAAGTTTTGGAGTGTTCAATTTCATCGCCTACTGCGGCAGCACTTATTTCGCATACGCAGAGTGGAAAGCCGAACCTATTACTTCATAGAAAAAAGCTGAACCATCCAAAAAAGAAGAAATATGTCCAAATATGTTTCTTATTTCAAGCCAACTGACTTTTTTACCTCAAGTGTTTAATTTTTTCTATTCTATTGAATTTATGATATAAATATAAATAAAAAACGAAAAAACAGTACACCGTTGGACAGCGCGAGACTTTGTTTTCTGTTTGTATTTCAAACGCTATGCAACCAGCACCAGCTCGGATGTCGAGCAGGTTGCATAACACGCAAGGTGCTTACACAATAAAGCTGGGTTTTACAGCCGGTGTAATAAGAAGACGTGTTTAAATTCTTATCAGTCGATCTGACGAAATTTTCGTCATTTTCTGATTCATTCGTCACCGAGCAAAAATTTTGTTGTCAGAGCTATCGCGCTTGCAGTTACTCAGAAATAACACTATAGTTTGCTTCTTTCCTTTAAGGTTTATGCGTGCAAGCTCGAAATCACTTGACATTTTCGAAGGTAAGAATTTACATTTCATAAAATTGATGCCATACAATCAATCTCAAGTCAATAAAAATCTTCTAAAAGATTAATTTTGCAGGGGCTTGAATCATGTCTCTCGAACAAGGGCAACAGCAAGGATCCTCTTCATGGATGGACAGAGCAACCAGCTGGATTAGACTGAACATAGACCATTTTAAGACGATTCCAGGAATGCTAAAATTGGCCCAAATAGTTTTCGGCATCATTTGCATTGCGTGCTCCTCACCGACAACTGTGCTTGGTACCGTGTGGTTTATTTTTGTGGCGGGTACTGCCATCACGGTCTCGTTCATCTGGATCTTGATCTACTTCTTCTCCATCAAGGACTTTTTCCGATCCATCAATTGGAATCGAGAAGTATTTTTCTAATCAAATTACAACTAATTAAGATGAATAAAAAATCAATCTACTTTTTAGGAGATGCTTTGTTTTGGCCTCGTGACGGTTTTGTACCTGACGGCGTTTATCACTCAATTGGCAGTTTGGTCTCCTGCCGTTTTCAGCAATTTCAAAATTTCAAATTTGGTTGCTGGTAGTTTCGGAGTGCTCAATTTTGTGGCTTACGGAGGAAGTACAGGATTCGCCTATGTGGAGTGGAGAGCTCAACCAAATAGACACTAAAACTTATAATGTCAGAAATAATTGTGTACACAACAAGTGGAATAAGTTTTTTCACACGAAATTATATATATAAAAAAAAAACACGAAATTATAAGAATTATCAATGAATTGCAGATATTTCACAGAAATATTTTGTCAGATATTATCCAAGTGGATTATTAAATAAGCGACAGTTTATGAAGCAGTATAAAAAGAGGATGGGAGAAAATGAAAATAAAAATTATCAGTAAAGATTGGCTGGCAAGACCATATATGTATAGAGCGTTTTTATCTCGGCACAAGATAGTAATATTTTAGTCATCAAAGGTGATCGATCGATATTCAAAAATTCACGCTCACTATTTTAAGAATAATCAAGGTAAGTTGATTTGATCTATAGTTAAGACATTTTAATTTAATATAATATTTTAAATAGATGATGAATCAATGGCCCGCGTCGCAACAAAATCCTCCCCTTCCGGAGGGCCCACCTGTTGATTACTCGGCGCCCGCTCCAGAAAACAGTTCCTTCAAATTGGACATGGGATATTTGTTTACAACGCCGCCAGGAATTTCAAAATCGCTGCAAATCCTTTTCTGCATCATTAGCTTGGCTTGCGCTTCTCCAGCTCTATTACCGGGAACGCACTGGTTTTTGATTGTCACGTCACTTTCGCTAGTATCGACGATTTTCTGGAGTGTCATCAATGTATTTTGCCTTAAGGATGGCAGACACGACATCAGATGGAATTTAGGGGTGAGAATAATTTTTCAAATATATATATTTTTAAATAAAATTTATCAATTTTTTAGTGATCATAAAATTTAATAATAATCTCTTGAATTAATTTTTAAAAAAAATTAAATTTTAGGAGCTAGTCAGCTTTGGATGTTTTACAATCCTGCACCTGACCGCCTTCATTACGCAATTGGCAATATGGTCACCATGGTATTTGGCCGCTTTAAGTTTTGTCAGAGATCCTAACCTGGCTGCTGGAAGTTTTGGACTTTTCAACTTCGTGGCACATTGCTCCAGCGTGTATTTTGCCTATATGGAATGGAAAAGCGAGCCAAATTTGTAAATTTGTGATACAAATTTGAAATAGATTTTTTTATGCACTTCGAAAATATTTTTGCGAATCATTTAAAATAATTCAAAGCATGTTTTGAGCATGACGTCAGAACTGCGAGGCGACAGTAGCTGATGAAAGTGAAATAAGAGACCCGACGAAAAGATGAAGTGTTGCGTGCGCCGCGTACGTGAATCATTTCATTTGTTCCGTCGTGGGTGAGAGATCAAGGCAGGCGCTTGTTACAGTTTAAACGACCATATTCACTTGAGATCAAATGCATTAAGTTACAAAAAAAATGCTCATTAAAAAATAGCATAAGAATTAAAAATTCTGAATTTTACAATGAAATCAATTAATTTAAATTTTTTGACAAAATTTTAAAGAAAAAACGACTCTAAAATTAAAAACTTACACCATACTTGTAAATTTTTTCTGAATTTATTAATCAGTTTAATTTGATCTTCTTTGCATAAAATTCAAGGTTTTGTTTATTATAATTTTTTTTTTTAATTTTCTTAAATTATGCAGTTTTTAGAGAACCACTTTTAGAAAATATGCACTTTTCTGCTGCGTGCATATATGTTATTTTAACGCAAAGTCGCCTGCAGCATCCACTTGTTATAATTTATCTAGATTCCAATCGGCCGGTGCTTTTATTATTTATATTCCTCGCAGCGGCGGCGGTGCCGGTCGGTGGGTTTCTTCTGCTCTTCCTCTCCGCCCATAACCAACTACGTACGTTATCTCTGCCAGCATGTATATAATTCAGGCTGTTACGTCACGCGGTTGCTCTTCGTAAGGTTCACTCCTTCGTGCAAGCAAGGCCAGTCAGTCAGAAGACTCACCTGCCAACACAGCAGTGCTAGTGCGTCCCCGGCAAGGAAATATATAAAAACTCAGGTACGTTTCTTATAAATATTTTGGCAGGAATTTTTTTTTGAGCAATGTGAATTGTGAAGAAATAAATATTTTATCTTTAGAGCGCCGGCTTAAGAAATGTAAGACAGAAGAAAAAATAAATATTCGCAAAAGGCGAGGACAAGTTCGCCTCCTACGCCCTTTGAAAATATAACTGTTGTCGCAATTTGTCCCACTGCGACAGTTGCACTAAAGCGATATTCCGCAAATTCGACTAAAGTTTCTTTGACGAAACGTCAGAACTCGGCCTTAAATCGGCCCAATTTTTAATATTTAAATTCCTAGGGCAGCGCCAGCATGCCCAAATTTAGGCATCTGCGCGCGCCTCTTTATGTCTGCGTCTTTCCTATGGTCGAGTAAACAGTTATAAACAGAGAGAGAAGAGAAAGACTGCTGGCAATAATTAGTATGCCAGAGACCAGACGCTGCCTTGAATTCCGAACAACAGGTAGCCTCTTTTATTTTTTTTTACTTAAAAAACAGACGGCAGCTTTGCCAATTAGTGTTAGTTGACGATGGCGAACGTGCATTGAGCAGCCCCAGTTTGAAACTACATTGTCAGTAACCAAGTGTGAATAACAACACCGAGAGGTGGGAAAATTTGTAGATAATTTGCTCGAATGTTCCATTTTTAGCACTTTTTAGAATGAGGAAAACTGAAAGTGTTTTCAAGGTTATTGTTTGTGTAAAAAAAAGTAAAAAAATTCAAATTAGGCATTCAAAAGTTGTAATTTTGTTAGTTATAAAACGCATTGTAATTAATATTTTTTTTTCACTGGAACTCAAATTTTTAGGACAAATCTTTTCATTCTTCTCTTTTTTGAAAAATTTAGTTTAGTTGTAAAATTTGAAGTTTAACCAAATACCAAAAATTTTATTCAGTTTTATTTCTAGCAAAATTAAATTTTTATAATTTATAAAAAAATGCCTTTTTTTCAGTTTTTTCCCTTAACTTCAAAATAAAAAAAATAAAAAGCTGCAAAATTGAATAAGCAATTAGTTTCTTTTCACCATAAATAAAAAATTGTCCAAAATTTTATTTTAAATAAAGCAAAATTGAGAATTTTGTATAGAAAAAAAATAATCAGAGGGATATTATTATTATTTTTTAATAATAATTGCAGTTGGTTCTACAATATGATGGCCGAGACAACTGTGCCGCCACCGCAGACGGTGCCCCAGCAGCAAGCGACGGTCAAGACTGACCCTGGCCAGAATCCGGGCGGAAGTCTTCAGTGGCTCGAGTTCAACGTGGCCTACTTCCTCGGCTTGCCAGGCATGCTGAAGCTCGTTCAGGTCCTTATCGGGATCATTTGCATGGCGTGCGCCTCGCCCGCCCGCATGGACGGCACCCACTGGTTCCTCTTCGTCGCGGTCACCGCGTTCATTGCCACCCTCATCTGGGTCTTCCTCTACTTGTTGTCCATCAGGGAGGCTCTCAAGCTCCCTATCAACTGGACTCTGACAGTAAGAAAAATCTAAATTGATAAAATTTGGAATGTTTTTCTAAATATAAAAAAAAAATCTGGAGTGTATTAAATTAATTCATAAAATGAAATTCAAAAATTATTAAAATATAATTTTTAACAAAAATTTATATTTTCCACTTCAAACATTATTGCTTATCAAACTGACATTTCAATTAATAATTAAAAGCTCAAAGTACCTTCAGCAATTAAAAAAAGTAAGCAATCAAAAATTAAATTATAAGGACAAATAAAAATGTTTACAAAATAACATAAAACTTTTTAATTTTTTTTTTCAGGAATTTGTGAATTATGCAATTTTCACATTGTTGTACGTGATCGCCTTCATTGTCCAACTGTCCGTGTGGAGCCCCTCGTACGAATATGGTCGCGGCCCAAACATCGCAGCGGGCGTTTTCGGTCTGTTCAATTCCCTCGCCTACGCCGCCAGCACGTACTTCCTCTATGTCGACTGGAAGGCCGGAATCGCTCCTCCACAGCAGTGAAAAGAAAGGTCCTTTCCCTCCCAAAGCAGACCAAATCCCATATCAAACACATGCTAACTGAATTTTATTCATAAGGTAATCTCGTAGAGTGTAAAATATTGGCAAAAAAATTAATTATTTGCGCGCTTGCATTACTCCCGCCTTTGTTTTGCCATCAAAGAAAGAATCTGTTAAGTTTTTGTACAAAATATTTGTATTTTATTAATTATTAATTTTATATAAATAATAGTCTTGCTTCTTCACTGTGTATAATAAAATGTTTGGACGAGAGTTTAATTTTAAATACGAAATTCGTCCAATATTATTAATTTGTAATAAATACCCTCGTGTTCTACTCAACCGAGTATAAATTAACTATTTTTACTGTTTAAATATATCATTTTTAATATTACAATTCCTCTTTTTTAATTGAAACAGCATTTTAATTTGACAAAAAAGAAGATATTTTTTATTTCATACATGAAGCAAATAAAAATTTTCTGTTTACTGGTTTATTTCACTGTTCAGGAAGACTCGGTGGTTGTTGTCCTGAAATTTTTTATCTTCTTTGACCTCGAGTTGTTGTCATTGTTTCCAAAAGGTCCGCCCGACCCAGGCCTTTGTTGCTGCTGCTGGCGACCTTCAATATTTTATTTTTTTACTTGAAAATTTTGTTGTTCATGGATTTCAAATATTTATAATTTTTTTTTTAAATACTTCAAATTTTACCATTGCTGTTTTTCAACTGTCCCAACTGTCCCATGTTGGATCTTTGGCGTCCCGATAATCCACCTGGACGTTTATTTTGCCTTCTTAGAGCCCCGAGGTCTCCATTATCGGAATCAGAATCGGAGCTGGAATCGGCGCCACCTCTATTGCGGTTGCACTTTTTAGTTGTAGCCTCGGCATCTCCATCATCCGAGCCGTCCGTTTGTCTTTTTTGGCGCTCCTGAGGAACATCTAATTTTCCATATTCAATATTTAACCATCAGACATTTTTACCAACAAACAAACCTGACCCAACCGAATCGACGTCCTCTGACAGAGTCAAGGCAACCTTTGATATAAATAATTAAATATAATTTTTAACTTTGATGAAGGTTTTATGTTTTACTTTACCTGGAGGGTCACCAGAAGGACAAGCACATAAAATACACGGGCCATTTTTCACCTCAAACTGTTAAAAATTTCACACAGCTTCCGATTTTATAGCAGCAACAAGAGACATTATAAACCAATTTTTGCAGGCAAAATTGCAGAAAATTGTGATTACAGGCGCGTGACTGTGTGAAAAGTTATGACGTGATGTATGTATAATTTGTTTCTCTTTCACGTCAAGAAATAATTTCCAAAACATTTTCCAGGTTGACAAAAAAATTATGTTAAATACGCAAGAATAGGAGAGAAGTCTAAAATAAATTTAATTTCTTTTTTTTCGTTTAGCAATCGCATGATTTTTTTTGTAGAAGTAACTTTGTGAAAATATACCATTTAATAATTTTATCTGAAAGAAATTTATCTTTTACTATTATTTTTAAATAAAAAAATTAACTTTTTATATCTCGTGCGCGAACCAAGATTTAGACATTACACATTTACTATGTTGATTGCACATATGCATAATAAAGAAATTGTGAAGAAAATATTGAGTATGACATTAAAAAAAAATATTAGGCTGAAAATAAATTTTCGTGTACCTGCTGAAAATATTTGGGATATCCACATGATTTCATTTTTTTCCTCTTTATTCTCTATGAGTATGCAAAAATCCTTAAATAAAAATTATTTAAAATGCGTCCACTTCCGCAGGCAAATTTAAATTTAGTATCTACATCCGCCATTCCTTTCGTGCATCATTATATCATTTTGCCCCTGAATTTTTCGCACTTTTTAAATGCAAAGGACCGGTCGCGGATTCGCGCACACCACCATCGGTCCCCGCGCGGAGAGAATGTTTGCACCGTCAAAGGCCGCATTGCCGGCCATTGTCGCACTGGCGATAATCACAGTGAGTCAAATTGTAGAAAAAACAATATTAAAAAAACTTCCATCATAACGCAGGTTGGTGTTAATTCTTCGCCAGTTCCGGAATCATATGATGAAAATCATCAGGAAAAAGGAGCTATTGATGACGGTGAGATTATTGAATAATAAACTGCGTTATGAATCAACCACATCTGAAACTGAAATTTTATAAAATCAATTTTCAACGAGTTCATAAAAACATTAAAATTTATGGAAGAAATATAAAATTATATTATATTATGGTTAGTAGTTATTTTAAAATTAATTAATTATTTTTGTTCTCCACATTTATTCACCTTCTCATTCTCAGTTATTTTATATGATGTTTGTCCATAAAGATTACTTAAAAATGCTATTTTTAATTTAATTTTCTTTTTGAATATAGATTTTTCAGAAGACGTAATTGATCCTACAAACGTGCGCACAAAGCGCCAAGTCGATTATTATGGCAGTTACTACTACGACACCAACTTTAATAACAACAATTGCGGAAGCGGATCGAATAGATTTTTCAACGCCCTTGGACTTGGTCTGAGCAACTATTTGCCATACTATAGCAGCAGGTCTCGGAATAGGCGACTCGTAAGGAATAGGCAACCCTTGCTGTACAACGGCCGAAGAGGACTTTACGCACCCAGCCGTTACTTCTCCAGTTCTTCTTCCACTGGCAGTTATGGCACTTATGGCAGTAACATGTATTCAGGGTAAAATTGGCAAAACATTGTATTCCATGCGACAGAGAAACGTGAAATTTTAAAAGAAATGGAAGAAAATTTACTCCATCATTTATAATTATAGCAAAATAAAAAGCATTTTTGGGGCACCAAATAAATTTTCCTATTATTTTTCTCTTTCTCCAATCAAAAGTTTTAAAAGAGGTAATAATGAGTGAAATTTTCCATGGCTATAATTTTTTTTTTAAGTTTTAAACCGAGTTTAAACAGTTTGATTTTAATTCATTTCTCACTCATTTTATTCAATTAATACCCAGACAAAATGATAAATTTAAAATTAACATTTGAGGTGCATTTCATCATGAAATTTTCATGAAGAATTGAACCGGACTGCCGATCGGAGATTAAAATTTAGATAAAAACATTTTTTTCGTTGAGGTTGAGCGTTAAGGCACCATTTCAATTTTTCAACATACTAACTTTGTGAAGAATAAAAAAAAAATCAATTTCTTTTGTCAGTTTTTTAATGAGTAGATCATTAATTTCATAGTAGTATTTTTACATGAGCATGTGATCTCGAAATTATTTATGAGGGAAACGACCTTGCTGACGTACACGCGTACAGAGAAAAAATGCAATACTCACCAACTTCATTATATTATGCAAGATGCACGCAGATTCCGGCGCAACAGAGCAGCACACTTTATTCAATCACTTTTAATGACACATTTTTATCTCGTGGTTGGGACAATTTGAATGCACGCATGACCTGCATGGCCTTTTGCGAAATTACCCTGAATAAAATAAACCACGTCGGTGCAACACATTTACTGTATGAATCAAAGCAGCACTGCTAACGCGTTAATAAAACCTTTTGTGCGCCACTCAAAAGCGTAACATTAACACGTCCTTTTGGTAGTTTTTCACGCGAATTCAGCATGAGCACAGCAGGGTCCTGCGTTGCTGTTCTTTTAGCGTGCGCTGCGTTGGCAGTTCAGGTGAAATAAATTATTTTACTTTATAAATTTAACCAAAATTTAATAATTGTCTTAATTCAAACAAAATTTTTAATGAATCAACCAGGTCAATGGAGATATTTTCAACTATGATGAACGATCCGATGAAGTCACTCCAGTACTCTCTTTAGGTTTGTGAGAATCTTTTCGTTTTATTCTTTAATTATAAATAATTCTAAAAACATCAGTGAATACCAACGTTGACGAAATCCAGCGAATGTTTGGTGATTTGGCAGAGAATCTGGGAGAAAATGCCGAAGAGGCGATAAAACTTTTTAGAACCAAACGTGGAAGTCACGGTGGCAGGAGGCACAAGGGTGGTGATAAAGGAGGACCTTTAATATTTGTAACAATTTCTTCTAAATTTTAAAAAATATTTGAACTGTTGTTTTTTTTTTTTTAATAAAGGGACGTAAAATGTGCTGTGACTTTCCGCAGTACCTGTCAGACAGAGAGCAATCCAAGAGCTGTCACGCCGAATTTGTGCAGCAGAATGTTAGCAGAAGTAATTTTTTTTACTGAATTATCGTTTTTTTACTTGAATTTTGATAAATTTTTTTATATAATAAAAAGGTGCTACGCGTGAGGAAAATCAAGACACTAGCAAGTGTTTCATGGAGTGCATTGCGAAGAAGAAGGGTTGGGCCAAAGAGGACGGCACCATCAACAAGGAGGCCGTGACTTCCTCCATGTCTGCCAGCAACGCCAACGACGATTGGCAGCCACTTATCACCCAGGCCCAGGAAAAGTGTTTTGCAGAATTGCCCACTGGTCAAAATAAAAATAAAGAAAAATTCAAAAGTTATAAATTTAAAAAATTGCAGAAGCTGGAGAGAGTGAATCAAAATGCCGCGCCGATTCCCAACAATTCATGTACTGCATTTTTGAGCACCATTTTTTGGTAAGTTTGTTTTACCTAATTTTTGAAAAAAAAAAATTTAATTTTGTTTTTTAGAACTGCCCAGCGAGTTCCTGGCGTGAAAGTAAGCAACAATAATGTAAAATGTTTGTTTATAAAAATAATATTTCATTAACTTTGAAAGGTGAGAAGTGTCGGGCGGCCGAGGCGCTGATTGCAGCAGTGGCTAGCAAGAGGGACAAGTCCACGCGTTGAAGTCTCTACAAAATTTGTGATTTAACTTCCCTCTATATTTTGAATAAATATTCTAGAAGTGACCTTTGCAAAAAACAAAACAAAGCTCCTTTTATTAAAATCACCAGTGCACTGCTTCCGTTTTGTTGTGAAAATAATAATAATAAAGGGCTTTTTAATGGGATATATCATTTTCAAATGCAGCCGTGCAAGTCAAATGAGTGGGTGTGCGTTTTTTTCCTAAAACATTTCAACACAGCAAAATTGCGTGCTGGCTGTGGGTATAAAAAGTAAGCGCTTGGACATTGGTCTTTAATTTCGCTGTCAACCACAAGGGGATACATACAGATCACGATGAGGCTCTTTGTTCTCTCCATTGGCTTTTGCCTTCTGGCCCTCATACAGGTAAAACAATTGGCATAATATTATACTTTTTAATATTACAAACACATTATAAATTGCAAATATCATTTTATATTTGCGATTTAAAAAAATGTCTTTTTTATTAGAGGTTAAGCTAAAAATAAATATTTTCTTTTAAGAAATAAAAAATTAATTTTGTAATATTTCTTATTTAAAAATATGATAAGCCACAAAATAATAATTAATAACTGAATTATTTATTGCATTTATTTTAGCTTTGTCTGGCACGTACAACAGCATCTCAAACAAGAGGAAAATCAACGACTCCCATGCCAAAGACTAGCAATTCTTGCGGTCCAAAACCTGCACCCCTCATGGCTGCCGAAAGCCACTGCAAGAAAATGGCTATGAATATCGAGGGAAAAGATGCAATGGCAATGAGCCAAAACTCTTCGGAAATGGTGACCACAATGAATCAAACTGAGGGCATGATGCACTCTAAGGTATATTTTTTTTAATTATATATGCAAATAAATCCCGAACATACTAAATATTATGTTTGTGGTCTTGGATAATCAACTTATTCGTTTTAAAATAATTTTTTCAGTGCTACCCTCTGTGCCTATTGAAAACTTTGGGTATAGTAAGTGCAAACACTTTTTGATTTTAATAAAATATAACAACGTACTTAAATTGGATAGGTTGATTCTAAAATGATGCCTATCGAAGGCAAGATAAAGGCAATGATGATGACAATCTCACTGATTAATGATCCTAAATCTAGTGAGATGATGGGAAAATTACTTGATTCATGTCTGTCTCACTACCGTACTGTAATGTCCAAGGACGAAATGCACCAGGGACACAGCGAATCATGCCCGAGCATGGAAAATGGGCACCCTAAATCCATGGGTAATTTTTCTGCTATATTTTTTTCCTTGATTTATAATTATGTGACACTTTTAGATAAATGTTCGGGAGCATTGGAGCTGATAAGCTGCATAAACAAGGGACTTCCAGTATGTAATTTGTGTTGAAACTTATTATTTAATTAATACATTTTCTCTTTACAGTGTCCTCTATTTGAAGAGTTGAAAAATGAAACTATGTAAATCATGTGATATCAATACCACTGGGGCATACAATACGATATTATGGTTAAGGAAGCAAAATAAATATAACAGTTAAAGTTTTGAACATAAAGTATTTGTGCAGTTTCTTTTCTTATTCACCACTGAACTTACTAGAACTACTAGCAAAATCTCAGATGACTTTGATTTTCCATTAAAAAATACATAAAATTGAGGAAATAAAATGATGAAATAAAGAAGTGACTTGTTTTTGTGAATTTACAATAGCATTTATTGTAGCTTTACCATTAAAAAAAGTACAGAGGAAATGACAGGGATGTGAGGGAGTGCCGTTTGGGACGAGTTGTTGGCCCCCTGGGCCTCCGATGCAGCCGGACACATTACTGAAAATGGCGAAAAATGAAGTAAAAATATATCTAGGATAGGATTTGCAGCGGAAGAGAACAGAAATCGATAGAGGAGTAGAGACCGACACCAGAAGCAAAGTGGGCCCGCGCACTGTCCCACACCAACATCTCTGACCGCCACATTACTTTTTGCCCTGCAACGACACCAACACCACCAATTTATCATAGCTGCCCTTGGCAAATTGTTAGCCAACAGTCCATGCTTACTTAACAAAAACGGGGCGGTGGTGGTTAAGAGGCAACTGTTACAAAAATAGAGGCAAAATTTAAATCAAACTTAACACAATTAAAATTGAGGTTGCAAAATTTAGCAACTAGAAACTTGCGGAACATCAATTATAAGTATTAAGTATTATAATTAAAAGGTGTCTGTATAATTTTTTGCTGTCAGTAAAATAATGGTAAATAGTGTGTGTATTTTTCTTTGGAAATACAAATTAAAATGCACTAATAGCAACAATAATTTAATTGGTTTTATCAAATTTGTAAAATAAAGTTGAAAATGAAAAGCAGTGCAAACACAATCCACAAAACTCTTACTTGTCGCACACAAGTGCATAGTTTAAAATCACACTAACAACGATTTTTGTATTAAAAAAGTTCAATATGTCTATCCTCAAAGCAAGCAATTCATATTCAAAAAATACCAACACTAAGTGAAGTGCACAAATTATATAGCAGGGCAGAAAAGTCTCAAAATATTACCAGCGGCAAAAAGATTTTTTTAAAGAAACATGCATAAGCTCATAATTTCCGACTCATACCTTCTTGGCCGCAGCCGCTCCAACCTTGCTCTTCTTTGTTCCTCTGACCTTCTTCATACGGTTCTTTCTTTCTTTCCTCTGCTTCCTTGTGGTCTTTCCCTTCTCGTGCAAACCGTGCTGAAATTTTATTTGGAAAATTATTATCTTAAGTAAGAGGACAAAAAAAAATTCATTTTAAGCAAGTGTAATGTTGTATTAGCATAATTATCCTACCCTTCCTAGGCGGTATTTGGGCTCAAACTTCTTGGCGTAGTCGAGATTGTCATAAATTAGTCCAAAGCCGGTTGACTTGCCACCACCAAAGGCAGTCTTGAAACCAAACACAAAGATGGTGTCAGCAGCAGCTTTGTACATCTTCGAAAGCTTTTCCCGGACCACCGTCTTCGGAATGGAAGGCTGTCCAGGGTGGATAACATCCACGACCTGTTGTTAAGAGGAAAAGCAATAAATTTATTGGTCATTATGGGTGAAAAGTAGATAATACCATTTGCTTTCTGCATAAGAGGCGATTGCTCATAAACTTTCTGGTTCTGATCGTCGCTGTCCCTTCCGTCTGAAATGACAAGCAACGATGTAAACAAACATTAAACTTGAAACGTGACTTAAAAATAAGATGTTAAAAATTTCGTCTTTGTATTTCACGTTGTTTTATCGAATGTAAATTGAGTTAAGTAATGAAGAAAACAACAATTTTGCCATTATTTATATTGGGTCTGTTGTACACATGGGCAGCACGTATATCGGTGCGGCACATCCATGCAAGTAGCCGACACGGCGATGAAATATCCGTCCATCCGCCATGACCGACCACTTATTAACTCGGATTCGGTATGTTGGCGAGTGGATTGACTATTCTGTAGCAGATTTTCGCGGATTCGAAAATTATATTTACCATTTTGGATCCGAATATTCCAAGGCCTTCAATAAAAACTGGCAGAAGGTAGACACCGCAATGTAAAAGATTTCAGATGTCGCTAGTGTTGCTTTATTTCTCGGTTTCACCAACAGATGGCTCTGATATCAAAATATTATAAAACATTGAACATAATTTTTCGACTAATTTTTGTTCGCATATGATGCAGGAGTTATATTTTTCTTTTGTATAATTCCTCGAAGAATCGTTATTTAAATTCATTTTGACCGAAATCTCTCTAAAAGTGAGCTATTTTCAAGTTTTTTGTAAAGCCCTCTGATGGCTGTTTTATGAACTTTTTGAGATCTTCGCCACTTCCGGGCAATCCGACTATACGTCACGTCATCTGTTTCTCTTCGATCATGGCGGAGTGTAGGGAAAGCCCCGAGTACAGCTCACCTCCGAAGCGGCTCAAGCTCGATTTAACCGCAGATGGTAGGCCAAAATATATCTTAATCGACGGCCCAAAATTTGGGCTATACTTTAAGAGGGTCTTGCTTGGTGCCGCGCGAGCCAATTTTGAATTGAGGCATGCGGAAGAAAGTGATTAATTTTGATCCAAAATGGCGGACCAGTCAATGTTCTCAAGGATCCTCGGCGGTGGATCAGAGGGGGGCGGGGTTCATGCAATTCACCCATGCCTAATTGTTTACCACTTTGCCATTATGTATATAAAAAATGTAAATATTGAAAAAAATAACATTGATTTAAATTTTAAAAAAGAAGTTTTTATAAAAAAGATGTTTTTTTAAATAATATAAAAAATATCGCATTATTTATATAATTATATTATATATGTATATACATAAATAATATAAATATTTATGTAATAACATTTATTTAATTTCCATTTTAGAAAACTCTAGCTTGGGTGCGGAGGTGTTGGCATGTAGCGACTCCGGCTTCAGCGACTTCCCTACGAGTTCTGCCTCAACTACCACCGAAGAAACCAACCAGGTCAGCAGCCACAGACTGACCCATCCTGACCCTGATCAGACCCGAGATGAAGCGTAAGTTTTGTCATCCTGAAACAAGAAAAAATTCCTATATCATGTCCTTGAACAGAATGGATAATGAAGGAGAGGAGAATGGTGATGAGGACGATGACAACGCGTCAACCGTCAGTGATCTATCTGATCTCAGCGGACTCTCGGACTTAAGTGATCAAAAATGGAGACCAAAGATGGGTACGTACCTATTATAAAATTGAATTTTAAGGCTGATTTTATATTCTATAGCTGGCACTATGGCTTGGGTGCAGAAACAGATCAATCAGGGTATTGATCCCAGGGAGGTCCTCAACAAAATGGGAAACCTGTCAAGCCACATTCCCGTTTCCCTGGATGACACAACCTTGTGGAAAATAATTGTTAGTGTACTTTCGGAACCGCCTAGGAGAGAGAAATTGAGCCACATTAACACAATAAGTGATGTGGTTAGACTTCTTAAGGAGGCAAAAAATATCATCGTACTCACTGGTGCAGGGGTATTGAGATTTCAATATTATTTTGGAGATTTTCCGCTTATCGGAGGAAAAACAGGTTTCGGTTTCATGTGGAATCCCAGACTTCAGAAGTCGTGATGGAATCTACTCCCGTTTGGCTATCGATTTTCCAGACTTGCCCGACCCTCAAGCCATGTTTGACATCAACTATTTTCGACAAGATCCTAGACCGTTTTACAAGTTTGCTAGAGAGATTTATCCTGGGCAATTCAAGCCTTCGCCCTGTCACCGGTTAGCTACAATTAATTCAATAAAAAGAAAAAACTAATTTCAACATTCTTAATTCAGATTTATCAAAAGACTTGAAGCTAGCAGCAAGCTGCTGAGAAACTACACACAGAATATCGACACGTTGGAGCAGGTGGCCGGCATTGAGAATGTGATTGAGTGTCATGGCTCCTTTGCCACGGCCTCTTGCACGAGATGCAAATCCAAAGTAACTTCGGAGAGCATTAGAAGTAACATTCTTGAGCAGAAGATCCCATACTGTGTCAAGTGCTATGAACTCTCTAGAAATCTGAGCAGCAAGGGTCCTGATAGCCTAAGTGGTACGTAATTTTAAATATTTTTGTGAAGTTAAAAATTTAAACACCTTTAAATTTTAGATTTGTACTCGCAAGGAATTATGAAGCCAGACATTGTATTCTTTGGCGAGGGCCTTCCAGACGCCTTCCACGAAGCTATGGCCAAAGACAAGGACAAGTGCGACCTGTTGATAGTGGTCGGCTCGTCGCTTAAAGTGCGACCTGTTGCACTTATTCCTAGTTCCATCCCTGCTGAAGTACCACAGATTTTGATTAATCGTGAGCCTCTCCCGCACCTTAGCTTTGATGTTGAGCTTCTCGGTGACTGCGACGTGATCGTCAACCAACTTTGTCACTTGTAATAAATGTGGCTGAAAATTGCTCCATTTTATTCAATTTATAATTTCATAGAATGGACGATGAGTGGCGGTCACAATGTTGGCTGAACCCTTTAAACGAAGTTATGGAACTTGAGGAAAAAACGGAGATTGTAAGCAAGTGGGTCGACCGAGAGGATTTTGCCCTTCCGGGCACCAGTTCTGAAAACAAAGCTGAAGAAATCGTACAGCCTGTGCTTAAGGATAGGCATTTTTCTACTGACAGCATGCTCTCTGCAGGAGATAGTGGCATTAGTGGAGGTAATTTTAGACCATATTTATTTATTATCAAATATTATGGTAATTTATAATTTCTTTCATTGTTTAATAAATTTTTTTTGTATCCTCAGGGACCAGTTCTGATTCTCCAACCTGCAGTGAATTTAGCAGTGGTCGTGACTCAAGGCAGTGCTCTACTGAGAGCATGAGGTCTGTTAGTTGTGATGAAGCACCACAGTCACCTTCCCGCCACATGTCTGTGGACAGCATGGGCTCACCACCAGCAGTTCCCTCTACTTCGACCCAGGTGGATGACCTGGACGGAGCTCGCTGGCAACCTAAAACACGAGAAAGTCTAGCAGAGAGGCTAGCAGGTACCATTCTTTTTATGACCATTTAATTAAATTTTTAATATTTTTGTCTTTAGATAATACCTACTATTATAATGAACCCAATCGATATATTTTCCCCGGAGCTGAAGTTTATCTGGAACCAGACTATGACTCGTACTCGTCATCAGGTTCTTCAGGTGGTAGCGAGTCTGACGATGAAGCGGAAGATGAGAAAACTGAAAGCCAACCCCTGGCAGCAGCACCTCTCCCTTAACCTCATGTGCATCCCTAATTATAACTTAACCCAATTCTTCAAATATGCATTTCACAATCAAATTAAGCCTCTTAAATATCAAAATCTCATAAATAGCTTTCAGATAATAGAAAAAATATGAATCTCTCCACCCTCAAGCACTGATTGCGCTCCTTTGTGTTGTCACTGGTTGACAGAATCTAGACTGTACATAAAATATTAATATATATGATGGAAAATATTTAATTCACGGCAGAACTAGTGGGTTAGGTGTTGGGTGTTTTTGTTTAGTTAACATAACAGTGTACTGTGTAGTTGCCATTAGTGTGGGGTGTGAGAGAGAATACTGTAAATAGGGAACAAGAAATGGAGTGCAAATCTGATAAAAAGATTAATTGGGGTTAGAATTATAGACAAGTGGATCAAAAAAATCTCGTTAAATAAAAGCATGTCTGCTTTGCACTCTTTTTTTTTCAAACTCCCACAGAGCTAAATGCTCTTTTAATTGAATTTTCGCAAGCGGTTGCTCAAATCATTATTTATTGAGATTCAGTGTTTGGCTTTTAAAAAGTAAGTGTAATTATATAGCATTTTTGAATAATTTTCCTATCAGATTGTATCATAGGTGACATTAACTGTGCTAACATAATCTTTCAAAGAATATATATGAGCAAGTTTATTTAATTTATTGTCGGTTAATATATTTTTAAGGAAAATGATTTTTTCCTGTTGGGAGCCGGAGCGTTAAGTTGGTTTTTCAGTGTACCTGATGAGAAATGAGACGTTTCTCAGCATTATACTATCTTGAAAGAGTGATCACTCTGATTAGTTGATGAGCGTCAGATTTATAAACTAATATTTTTCTCCCTCTTGTCTTTACTTCTGAAGAAAAATGTGCGCATATATATGCAGAAGACATGCATGACTTTAACATTTAAAGTGTGATGATACTAATTGAAAAAGCATAATTTCTTTCACCTATTAGGATGTAGTTCCACAAGCTAATACACTGTTAAACACATAAAGCTACTTAATTTATTAACACAGAGACACACTGTAGCAATAACTTTTTTTGTAATCATTTCATTCCTGTGCTGGAAAATTGTTCCACTTTATAAGCACAATGTCTTAGCTAAAGTACGGATTGTTTGTACTGTGGAATGCCGCCCCACCAAACATGAAAGTGTGAACTGCATCAATTTCTGCCATTTTCGCCCCATTCATTTTTAGGCTAGGTTGTTAACTAGCTGAGATGTTAATTATTAGCCAATATGTATAATAGAATTTGCTTGTAATTGACCATTTCTGAGTGGAAAGTATGCATCGACTTGTATTTACAGCTCTTTAATTGTTACTTTAAAAAATCTGAGATCAAAAATGAAACTAAAAAAACCTTAATAATGAAGTGCATGTACTAATTATACGAAATTATTTATCTCCGCTATTATTCAGCTGTACCCTTTTTTTATTGTGCAGATTAAAGAAACATTATTTCTGTTACTGATTAACCCTTATGTTTTAATATCTTCTTGATACAAAAATGAGGCAACAAGGGGACCTCCTCATTTTGTAGTTCACGCGCAGTTGTTTTGCGTACAAGGAATAAAATAAGAGACACGCGACTGAGAATTCTTAGAAATGCGCTGCCAGTTGAGGAGAGGAGCTCAGCGCGAAGGGTTGACTTTATTAGACCTTATTTGTCCGATAGCTGCGTTGGGGGTCGCGCGGCTGAGTTATGGCTGGAAAAAAGTCCTGCGAACTGGTCGTGGTCACCAATGGTGACCACAATGATGACCTCGGAGGCCAGCAACTGTATTCGAGCACCAACAGTGAGAACAATCCGTCGGACGAGGAAATGTGTAGTGAATACGAGAAACATCAAGTTTTTGACTATGTCCCAGCGCAAAAAAGACTCATGGAAAGAATGAATCAAATTCTTGGAGAACAGCACTCTAAAAAGTGGTAACTATTATGAGATAAAATTAAAACACGTACGGGTTGAAAAATGTAAAATACATACATTTATTTTAACAGAGACGGAGGACTCTTTCATTTATATAAAAAATAACAAATCATCTCGTGCATATTTTTCAAATGACCTGCTTTGGAAAAACATATTTTTTCTATTTTGAAAGGTTTTTAATTATTCAATAACGATAATATTTTTGTGCATGAAACCTGAGATAATTATTATTATAACATAACGTATGCTTGAAATCGGAGACGTTCTTGTATTGTCGCGCCAAACCCCAGACCTAATTTTCAATATGGCCAATCAGAGCTCTCTGAGGTGTTGCTGGACCAATCAGCATCCAGTTCTCTCACTCCCATTGCAGACACTGCAGATTTAAATTCCTCCTCTTTTCTGAGCTTGAATTTCGTGCATTTTACGTGCTTTCCGTGGTCTGAGCTCTGCTGTTGACCGCTGGACGAGCACTCCGGACACTTGAAAACCCGTTCTCAAGACGTACAAACGCTTTTTATCAGTCGCTCGTAGGCAAAAGCGTGCTGACGTATTAGTCAAGCACCGCAGGGATCCAAGGCCGACAACAACAAACACGTGCTCCGCTCGTTCGCCATCCGATTTCGACCGGCGATTCGGCCAGCACGGTTTCCAGAACGCGCCTGGAGACGCATTCATTCGTTCGGTGTTGGGTTTGATTAACCGTGGGCACTTTTTCCGACAGCATGGCTGATTATCTGATCTGCGGCGGCACCGGCTACGTCCCTGAAGATGGACTCACCGGCGCCCAACTCTTCGCCAACGGCGACGGGTTGACCTATAAGTGAGTGTCCCTGAGCCTTCCACCCTGATTATATAAGCTATTTATTTATCGAAGAAACTGTTCATTTATAGAATCCTGTGTTATGTAACACAAAATTATGCTGTAATAATAAATTCCTTTACATATTCTTAACACAGTTATTTGTATTCAAATTTTTATTTTTTATTTTTTTCAATTAAAATATTGTTAATCTAAAAAACTACTCATTCGTTGAAGTATATGTTATGTAACATAAAATATATATACAAACCATTAATCAACATTATTCTTTACGCATTCATTCTGATTTTTATTTTTTTTCTTGAAATTGTAAGTTAGCTGGAAAATTGATTTTTCTCTAGCAAAAATAGTTTAAAAACTAAAATAATGCAAAACATCCTTCTAAAATTTTTCGCAGGTTTTGTTTTAATAATCAAATAAAATATAATAAAAGTGGCAAATGAATAAAAACAATTGAACTGTAATAAACACACACATATTTTTTAGTGTTTGATAAGAAATAAGGAACAAAAATTCTGCTTTTTTGTTTATAATAATACACACTTCTGTAAAAATAAAAAATAAGCAGTCACGTGAATCTGAATTGCGTGTGGTTTTACAGCGCCAGAAAATATATAAAAGCCTCAGGGTATGATTTCTTTTCGATTTTTGACCCCTGACTCACTCCCTCACTCGCGGTTTATTGAAAAATCGTTTTAATTTATTGCACCCTGATTGACAGTTCATGGATCGTCTTACTGCCAAACAAATATTAATTCTGAGCAATGCGTTTGTTTCAGTGATTTCATCATCCTGCCAGGCTTCATTGATTTCGCCGCTGATGAAGTGGTAAGAAGAAGCACCACAATGATAATTGGGTCAGCGGGGTAGATTTTTTAGAGACTCCGGCGACTCGGGCCTTGAAAAAGTAATCCTGACGGGTCGCTTTCTAAACACGTTTTTGACCGAGACAAAAAATTCTTTTAAAGCTTATTGATCTGTAATATGGATGATTTCACTTAATATTTAATTATCAAGTAAATAACGTAATAAAACTACAGCCAACTTAATATATTTCTAAAATTTTGTTACTCTGCAAAATGTAACTCGCAGGTATCAAAAGCTGCGGCCAAACTGCAGTTGATTAAAGAGCCCAAAATCTCATCTCCATGCACCGAGCAGACTTGTCCCTTGTTCATGAACCACGGAGAGGTAGTAGAAAGAGTGCTCGAAGTAGATATTGATCATAATTTTGGTAATCTGCTCGGTGCCAATCGATATAAAACCACTTAGCGTTATTAGCTTCGCCGTAGAATCCTGGAAAAAATATATGCTCCTGTAATAAATCTCCTGTCATTAGCAATTGTAAATGAACTACGGTAAAATGGTTAAAAATTTAGTTTAAAAGCATTTCTTACAATTTTATTTCAGGCCTCATAAACTATATGATAATTTATTTCAATGAAACAATTAGAAAGGACAAAAAAAAATTAATTGTGTTAAAGTACATTTTGTATTTTATAACACAAAAATACTTTTTTCTTATTGTTAGTAGAGGCCAGCCGTATATTTTTAATGCATGATCTTTTACTAAATGAAAAAAAAAGTTAAAATAATCCCTTTTCACTATTGTTAAGGACCTAACCTCTGCCTTGACCAAGAAAATAACCTTGAAGGCCCCTTTGGTGTCTTCACCCATGGACACAGTGACGGAATCGGAGATGGCCGTTGCTATGGCTGTAAGTTTAAATTAGTTAAATAAATTATTGGTATTTATTGTTTTCTAATTCAGTTGTGCGGTGGCATTGGCATTATTCATCACAACTGCACACCCGAGCACCAAGCCAATGAAGTTCTCAAAGTGAAAAAGTACAAGCATGGCTTCATCAGGGATCCCGTCGTCCTCAGTCCAAATCATGCGGTTTGTTACTTGACATCTTTGTATTGTAAAATAGCAGAATGAGCAATTTGTTGCAGTTAACAGTTTTCCGACCTCCTCTTATCGTAGCAATTAACTTCAATCACTTTGACCTTCGACTGCAAAGCTATCTCAAAACCTTTTTTTTTCAGATCTTGGATGTTTTGGCTGTCAAAAAGGTGCACGGTTTTTGCGGCATCCCTATCACGGAGAACGGCAAACTGGGTGGAAAACTGTGCGGCATTGTGACTTCTAGGGACATAGACTTTCTGGAGGAGCATCCCAACCCGAACCTTAAACTCGAATCTGTGATGACCAAACTGGAGAACTTGGTTACTGCCAGGTCTGGTGTCACTCTCGAGGAGGCCAACAGCATTTTGGAAAAGTCCAAAAAGGGCAAGCTGCCAATTGTGAACGACGCTGGCGAGTTGGTTGCGCTGATAGCGAGGACTGACTTGAAGAAATCGAGGAGCTATCCCAGTGCTTCCAAGGATGAAAACAAACAGCTTCTTGTTGGAGCAGCTATTGGCACAAGAGACGATGACAGAGCTAGACTGCAGCTGTTGGCTGCCGCTGGTGTTGATGTCGTTGTTTTGGTAAGTGCAGAACAACTTGTATACTCTGCTGTGAGATTAAACAAATTAATATTTTGGCTTTCACCATAAAATTTTCTTAGAGACTTGATTTAAATTAAGTAAAATTTCAGGACTCGTCTCAGGGCAACTCCGTATACCAAATTGATATGATTCGTTTCATCAAGCAGACTTATCCCAATCTTCAAGTTGTCGGTGGAAATGGTTAATATTTTGCTTAAAAAATTCTGCTGCCAGAAAATAATAATTTCTTTGCTTTATAAGTTGTCACTGCGGCGCAAGCCAAAAATTTGATTGATGCCGGAGTTGACGGTCTGCGAGTTGGCATGGGCAGTGGATCCATCTGCATTACACAGGAGGTTATGGCAGTTGGTCGTCCCCAGGGCACTGCGGTTTACAAGGTGGCTGAGTACGCACGCAGATTTGGAGTTCCCGTTATTGCCGATGGAGGCATTCAATCTGTGGGACACATCATTAAGGGGCTTGCATTGGGTGCCTCAACAGGTAAATTATACCAGCTGATTTTTTATTGCTATTGTTAAGATGTACTTCTTAAGAAATCCATTCATTAAACACGAATTTAAAAACGATAATGAACAAATGATTCATTGAATTTTAGTGATGATGGGATCCCTATTGGCTGGCACTTCTGAAGCTCCAGGAGAGTATTTCTTTTCGGATGGTGTGAGGCTTAAGAAGTACCGTGGCATGGGCAGCTTGGAAGCCATGGATAGGAAAGATGCCAAGGGTGGTGCCATGGACAGATACTTTCATTCGTAAGTAAAGAATAAATACTATCAGAATAAATTCTCAATTCAATAAACTTATGTGATCTTGATTTAAGAAAAAAATTATACAAAATGTTTAATTTTCCATAGTGAAATGGATAAACTGAAGGTTGCTCAGGGAGTGAGTGGCTCTATTGTGGACAAAGGCTCTGTTCTGCAGTTCCTTCCATATCTGCAGTGTGGAGTCCGTCATGGTTGTCAGGACATTGGAGCTCGCAGTCTCTCTATTTTGAGGTGAATATATATTATTCTATTTAAAAAGGTAAACTATATGATGAAAAACTTTATTCAAAGGTCAATGATGTATTCTGGAGAGCTGAAGTTTGAACGTCGCACTCAGTCTGCTCAGATGGAGGGAGGCGTTCACGGCCTGTTCTCTTACGAGAAGAGGCTTTACTGATGCCACCAAAACTTGGCAACTCTCAAGAACGTGGGCGAGTCGTCAGCTAAGAAAATCAAACAGTATCCTTTCAATTGAGACGCTCGATGTCTGAAAGAATTTTTCGGCCGATGACAACACACTTACAAAAACTTGCCTCTTGCCACTCAACAATGAGCGCACAACTCTTGTGTGAATCTAAACTTGGAATCTGCTACGTAAAAAGTGAGGGACCATCCTTGACAGAATATAAATTTGAACCTCCTTAAATGTACTTACTACACGCAATCTACACTGATGTAACAAGAAAATTATTACTATATATATATTTATACTGGTGGAGTTTATTCACAAGATCTGTGCATGGATGGTTATTTTAATATAAGGTGATAGAGGAATTTGCTTTTTTTATTGATGAATCAGAAATTATATTTTTGCAAGATTTTCTGGTATTTTTCAAAACATTTGAGAACTTTTTTATTTTACATTAGGTGTTGATGAGCTGCTTGAAACTGTATTTAATGAATTCAGGTGAATTCATAATAGGTACTTGCTAGGTTTTGGTAGATATGTACTTTGTAAGTTTGATTCTTGAGATTACAGTAAAGGCAAAAAAATCTCTGTGTTGAATCCTGTACTTAAAACTCATGAAAGGTACAATGCAAATCAATTTTACTTTCCCAGTCCCCCTCTAGTTGTGATTGAAAAATTGTGCTTGGGACTGCAGGTGCCAAATGAAAGAAATTTATCATTTTTGAAAGTGTAACATTCCCTGATTTAATCAATCAATTAAATGATAATTTTTGTACCGTCATCGTTCACTACATGAATTAAAAAAAGTGTCATAATATGATTTATAAAAAAATATGCGATGTATTGCAATGTATCATGTGAAATTAAACTGAATTTAATTGAATAATTCTGATTTTATATACTCGATCTATACACACTCGATTCTGTCTTATATGAATATTCATTACACGTGTTTTCCCAAATTGAAACTTTAGGGCGAGGCTGATGAATTTGCCAATTATGTAGCAGTGGCAGCGGCTGTTTAATAAAATGCGTATGTGTGTGTCTGCGCATATCCCTCCATAAAGGATATCACCGGGTACACGTGACCTGCCATCACTTTGCCCTTGAGTCGAAACAACGCCAACTCCTTTTCTCTCTCTCGCGACGCATCTTAATTACTCGCCGCCTTTTGCTCAGTAAAGATGCGTCTTGGAGCCGTCGTTCCCAATTTCTCTGCCGACTCTACGGAGGGCAAGATCCAGTTTCACGACTGGCTTGGAGAATCGTGAGAATATTTAGTTTTCCTCCTGATTTTATTACTTTTGCATTTTATGAACTGACAATGAGCACTGAAAAGATAAATTTTTAATACAGGTGGTGCATGCTGTTCTCCCACCCTGCGGACTTCACCCCTGTGTGCACCACTGAGTTGGGTAGAATTGCGGTTCATAAGCACGAATTTGAGAAGAGGAATGTGAAACTGCTGGCTCTTTCGTGTGATAAACTCAAGTCCCACTGCGACTGGGTTAACGTAAGTTCATTTTTAAGATGCTGAAAAATTATAAAAATATGTTAAATTTTGTTGTTATTTTTTATTTATTCATATATTAAAGCGGTTTAAAGTTTTTCTTTTTCAAATAATTTTATTTTCCACAAAGAAAATAATGGAAAATAATATTTTTTAATTTAATGATTTCATTAACTAATATCTTATCAAGTGTAATTAATATTGTGCACTAGTACTTATTTTAACTGATTATTTCCGACTTGATTAACAGGATATTAAGTCATACTGCCTGGACATCAAGGGCGACTTTCCGTACCCCATTATCAGTGACGAAGATCGCTCCTTGGCCGTGACCCTTGACATGCTGGATGAAGAGGCTCGAAACGACCCCGCTGTTTCGATGACCGTCAGGGCCCTCTACATCATTGGACCTGACAGGAAGGTCAAGCTTTCCATGACCTATCCGACCTCTACTGGTCGAAATGTCGAGTAAGAATTCCAAACTTGCCTTTAAACATTTCGGATTATTAGATGTTTGTCATATTTTAGTGAAATTCTTCGTGTCATCGATTCCTTGCAAGTTGCTGCTCGAAAGCCGGTTGCCACTCCAGCAAACTGGACGGTAATAGCTCTATAGTTGCTCAAAAATTTCAAAGATAATAATTTTATTTTTTGTTATTTTTACACAGCCCGGTTCTCATGTCATGGTGCTGCCCAGTGTCAAAGATGAAGACATCCCGAAACTCTTTCCAAAGGGCGTGGATACAGTTAAGATGCCTTCTGGGATAAACTATGTGCGCACCACATTCGATTATTGATACAGGATATTGTAAAAAAATTCGCATATTAAAAATAAAATATAAATTTGAAAAATATTAAAAAAAAAACTTTGCAAAATTTTCCAAATGAATTTCCATTCCCGTGCATTATTCTTAATCTACTTTTTTTTTAAATAAGGTTAGGGTTAGATTGTCAATTCACTTTTGTGTAGTGTGACCTCAATTGAAATTCATAATCATTCTACGGTAATTATTTTATTTTAATTTCTGCATTTTTTTATACCGCCACTGACAATGTGTGTAAAGTAAGCAGTGAAGGCATTTCTTTCGCGCTATATCCTTTAAAAATAAATAATCTCTTACTGAGGGGCGTGTCTCATCTCACTTTGTTTTGCCGGCAGTGCGGTTTGTTTACAAGAGAGAATCTTCTGTTCCGCAACATTTACATATTTTTGCCAAATTATTTAGTTATCGGACAAAATATTTTAGTGTTGAATTTGAAATGAAAGTCAGCTAGTTATCTTATACATTTTTATGATGGATCAAGCAAGTGTTAGACGAGCTGTGCTTAAGTTTTTCCAGGACAACCATTTGAGCTGCAAACAAGACTGGCTCGACTCCTGTTTGGAATATTTTATTTCTAACAATCAGCAGGTTTGCTCTTTTACAATTTTTTGGATTCATATATTATAAAATTTTACTTTTAATTCTGGACCTTTTATAACGTGACATATAAGGGGTGCAAGAAATTAAATAATTATAACATACATAATAAACTTAAATAAAAAAGTTTTTTGTTGCAGGTTAAGTTTGAAGAAGCAAAGGAGTTTGCACTTGAACAATGGAAACTTGGAAACCTTAGAGAAATTGGAGAGCCCACTTTGCCACAAAACAATCTGCGAGCAGTGAAAGTCACCGAGCTTAAGGGGATTTTCGCAGTGCAGGTTTGAATTTTGCTGGAGAATAACAATTATCTAATAAATTATTTTTCTCAAAATCAGGTTGAGAAATTCTGGGACAAGGCTAACTCCAGTTACAACCAGTACAGGAACTACAAAGGAGAGCTGAGCGAAGAAACAAATAATGACGAGACCAACGAAGGAGAAGTTGACGTCTCTGATTGGGGCAAAGGTCCTGGTGCTGGAGAAACAAAGCGAGCGCTGAAGCCACGAAGGTTGCTGATGGAAATCTGCGATGGAAAAACAGAGCTGAAGGCCTTAGAGTGGAAACCGATTCAAGAACTGTCAGGAATGGTGTATCCAGGAGCAAAAGTATTTTACTTCAATTTCAAATTTATTTATTCAGTTTTAAATTTGGAAAAATATTTGCAGATGGTTATCAAAGGACCTGTTGTTTGTCGAAATGGCATTTTGATGCTTTGTCCGGAACATGTGAAACTGTACGGTGGAGAGGTGGATGACCTAATTTTTACAAATGCAATGGAGAATCTAATAGCAGATTCTTTGTAAATATTTCCGAATATTAAATTAATGAAATTTTTTAAATGAAATATCCTCTAGGGGACTCCCTCTCAACAATGATCCGTACACTGGAAAAACGAGCACCCTACCTCCACCTCGGAAACCACAACCTCAAAAACCAGTCTTTCGAAATCAACCAGCAAGCAGCACATTCCAGGCAGCAAATAATGGAAACCGATTCCAGCAGAAATTTGAAACCACAACACAAAATAAGACGAGCACTCAGAAAAACACAAATCACACAGGCAGCAACTTGTTTAGTCGACCTTCAAATTTTGGGATCATCTCCCCAATGGACAATAAAAGAAGAAAAAACTTTTTCGATGATCCTAATTTCAGCGGCCAATCCTCTTTAGGCTCAAAATTTAGCTCGCCTCTGTTAAAAAAGACTGAAGTTGTGAGTAAATGTTAAATTAATTTTTTTAAAGCAAAATGGCATTGGTGATGGAAAACACTCGAAACAAATATTTAAAAAAATCTAGCATCTCAAATTGCTGGCTAAATTTGCTCTTTATTTATATTTGAGTAGTAATTTTACTATCTTTTTTTTTTGCAGCCATCAAATTCTACTTGGGAAGATGATTTGGACGATTTTGAGCTGAGTGCTGAAGATTTGGCACAGTTGGAGTCATTCGAAAAGCAGCAATCACAAAAGGTGACCAGGAAGCGGCAGACACCAAGTCCAGTGGCTGACTTTGATTTTGAGGACGATGCTATGGAAGAAATTCAAAGACTAGAACAAAAAGCCAGAGCATCGAAAAGGCCACACTTGGAACCTCCATCAAATTCCCAGCCTCTTGCCAGGATAAGGCCAATTGTGAAGAATGAAAGGAGGGAAGAGCCTATTGAAGATGTATATTATTTTAATAATTATTGTCTGCTGTATTTATTTAAGATGTATTTAGCAGGTGCCTCCAAAACGTCCTCTAGTAAAAACTCCCAATTTGAAGACTTTCTTGAGCAGAACAGTTACTGCAAAGAAAATGATTCCTCCAGAGAAAATCATTCCTCCGAAGCAGCCGACCAAAATCAAAGTGAGCACCAGACCTTTCATATACCTCAAGCAGCTGCAGGGGAAGTGGCGGAAGAGAGCAACCATCAAAGCAACAATCATTTCACTTTTGAAGAAATTGAGCACTACCAATCAACGGTGGAGCCTCACTGCGAGGATAACCGATTCCACAGCTTTTTTGGATGTTGATTTTGGGAACAGAGTAAGATTTTACATTGGAAATTTATTGATTATTAATAGAAATGCCTCAGATTTTAGAAAAAATGATGGGAATCAAGTGCAAAGACTTTTTGAGATCAAAGCTTGATAGGGAAAGAAAGACGAAGGTAAATCTTCAGAATTCTTAGTTTCATGTATGATTAAATTTTTTAATTAGCTTGTCGGTGCCCTGAAGTCCAAGCTGATTGACTGTGATTGCTTGATGGTCTTGAAGTTCCAAGACAACAAGCTGCCCAAAGTGATCAAATTAAAAAAGGTTGGGCACAAGCATGTGTTAGAATTCAAGACCCGACAGCGGACCCTTGATCGATCGAACTGACTTTTAAGACATGAACCGTTTTACTTCTACATTTGAGGTTCCATTTTAAATAAATTACTAGTTTTTCACATTCCTGTGTGTATTTACAAAATAATACAGAAAACCTTAAACTCATTTCTCAAATGAGCAAAACAAAAAAAGAGTTGTACATTAAAAGTAAGAAAGTCTTTCACTCCTCTTTCTTCTCGTCTGTGCACGGAGATCCGTTTTCTGCAGCAACATCGTCAGGCAGGATGATTTTGTCGTAGCTGAAGGACACGATTGGCAGCAGATGCATGATTCTGTTGGGATCCACACAAACAGCAGATGGAATCTAAAGCAAAAGCATTGAAATTTCATTAATACATTTTTAACTGAAAAAATTTACATTCAAAGCGGCCATCGATGCTTCCCTTGACGTGTATTCTCTGAGCAAGTACTTCCAATTGAACTCGTGATAGATCCTCGTCTCATTCAAACGAATGTGCACTCCATCGACTCGCAAAAAGAAACGTAGCAGGAGGTAGAAGCTGTTGGGCATCATTCTCTGAAATAACATTAATTTAAGTATTTTGTATTTGCTAAAATTAAAATAATCGGTCTTACAATTTTAACGGTGCACACAGAAATGCCGTTGTCATGAAGTTCATCCTCAAACAGAGTGATGTCTTGATAGTATAAGATCCTCTCCTTTACTTTGAGTTTCTCCATGTCGATTCTCTCCTTTGTCGGTTCGACCGTCACAGGCCCGTGCAGGGTGCCTTTGTAGGAAGTGGAGAATGTCCAGTCGAAAGGATGTTTCACACCCTCCTCAATCAACTTGCAGTCTTTCCTAAAAAAAAAAAAATATAATTAAAAATAAAAAAATAAATAGAAAAATGTAAATGTAAATTTCACCTCGAGTCTTTCCAGGACTGAGAGCAAGCGACGACTAGCTCGTTGGTAATTTCACCGACCTCTTTCAAGGCCCCGAGAGCTGAGAATTCCAGCGTGCAGCCCGAATCGTGTTTCAACTGGAGCAAGTTGAATGGGAACACCATGTCAGGAAAGTGAGGCAGAGGCACTTCTAGTGTGAATCTGTGGAATTTGAGCATGTTTAGAATTCCAAGCGGTTTTTTTCTAATCAAACTTACAAGCAGAATTGACACATGTCTGTCTTATCAACGCATTGGCCGCCCTTCTGGCACTTAGAACCGAGGATAGCACCGTTCTTGCTGAACAGCTTCCACCTCTGACAGGCCATCTCCTCGGTCTGCGAAGGGAATCTCTTGATGTCCTTCGTGACCGGGTCGAAACTCATCGGTGAACTTGCACCCGCCATTTCTCACAAATTCCGAGTGTCTCCGGTAATAAACAATGGCTTTTGATGAACTGTGGATTAAAAATAATTAATTAACATAACTGAATGTTTTGTCAACATTATAAAGGTTGACGAATCAGAAGAATTAAATTACCTTGCAACAACAACAAGCAGTAAAGCTACCTGACAGCCGCCATCAATGATATTGTCAGGGATGCCAGCATAACAGAAGGAGAAATTTGAAAAACTTTATGCCCAGAAATCATGTACTTGTATAAAAATTGATTATATTTTTAGCTAAAATTTTAAAAATATTTAAAAATCATTTTTTATTCAAGACAGTATTATAACCGATTAACAACTTTTGATATTTTTTTTATCATGTTGTAGAAGATTTGAATTTTACCGCGAGATACACGAGGTTCTTGGCAGATAAAATTAAGCTATTTAAAATCATTAAATCTATCTTATCAAATAATATCTTTACTTTCGTGATTAACGATTGAAAGCAAAAAATCATGTTCTGGCCTATTCATGAAATCTAATTTTTTTTTCATGAATAATGTTTGATCCCGTTAATTGATAATTGTATGTGCAGTTAAACTACTTTTTTATTATTTTTATCTATAGATTAGAGCAGAGGTAGAAGATTTTAACAGAAATGCAATACTTTCGTTCAATTTTTGCTATTTTATTTTTGTGATGGTCTTACAACTCACCATTTTACAATAATGAAAAAAGGGAATAACAATCTTTTAGACCTATCCTCTAAATCCGCTGATTTCTGCAATATAGAATCATTTTTCCATCGACTTACTCTCTGAATTTCCTCTTTTTCATTTTTTCGTTTATTTTTCTTTTTACATACAAATACTCGGATTTTTATTTGCAAAAATTGTTTTTTATTTGCTTTTTATTGTTTTAACTATATCATCTTTACAATTGCGGCAATGCAAATAGTTTTTCCGTATTTAAATTACATCTCATTTTTATGTATATATCCAACATTGCAGTACTTTGCATCATCGCGTGTAGAGCCTTTACAAGTAATATTGAGGTTTGCTGATTTGCTGTTTCACCTTAAACTCGTTTAACCTTTCTTCTCTCTGTCATGAGTCCTTTCCTTGTGGCTAAAGGGTTAATTGATCTCATTTTACACATTTTGTATTAAGAACAAGAGGCAGCCGTGATTTTACAGAGTAGTAGATTTCCGAACACTGAGTGCCCACGTATTACACAAGTGAGAGATATAATTAATTATACACTTCAGTTAATTCAAAAGGTAATAAACTGTATACTGTGTTCGCCTTACTATTTTGCCAAAATTTTGAATAAAAAAATCCAGTGACGAAAAATGCTTGCGATCGAGAAAGAAATGTCGGCAAAAGTGAATTTTACTTTCCTATAGGTCAATTAATTGCTCTTCATTCTAGAAAACAAACGTTGTGTATTCTTGCACAATTAAGTCTGCTCGTTTCTAATTTTCCATGTTAGGGTTGCGTCCAAAACACACAAACATAATTGCAGAATATAGGTTGCATTTTATATATTATTGTTTTTTTTTCAATTTGTTTTTGCTATTAAGGCAAGCACAGAATGGTATATAACATTATATAGCACGCCGAAAAGTTGTTTACAGAGTGATTAGTTTGTTTAACAATTATACAAGCAGCCAAAACGAAAAGTGTAAAACAAAAAGTCGCGGCAAAGAAGGCACTTTCTTTCAAAATCACTATCACAAGCGGGCGTTTGTTTGAGCTCATTCCGAATAAATAATCAAATGTGTGCCACTGAGCAGAAAAAAATCAAAACAAAAAATTAGTCCATCCTCTAGAGGCCAGTTTTACACTTATAGACATTTTCAATAAGTATACCCTGGAGTTGTTGTTTAATACACGATTTTTTTTCTCTGCAGTGAAGAAAAGGCAACATTATTATTTTTTTCCAAAGTGCTTTTGCTAACTCTGTGTGCACTTAATTTGTTTTGTCGAGAAAATCAGACAGAAAGGCAGGCAAATCAGTTGGATTTCGCATGATTATTATTTTTTGCATCAGTGAGGAGCGGAATAAATCAGCAAGATCGATTGATTTTCCGCGGCGTATTTGGCAAAATCATTAATAAATTAATAATGGAGAATGAAGAGAAAACTGTATAATATAATATTGCTAAAAAAGGAACCAACACACAATTTCATTTTAAAGATTCAAATTGAATGAAAATCTAAAAGAACATCGGTTGGCACTGGGGAGGGCGAGATTTATAGAAAATAGAATTTTCTAATAGAAAAAAACATTCAATATAACATTTTAATATTGGACTAAAATCCACAAGACTTGAAGTTACGGGGCAAAGAAGACTTTGAAATTTTCACTCAATTTCAATCTTGTTTCGAAACAAGAGTGATTGATTGAATTATTCATTCATTTTTTTCCGTCTATGGCAAATCGGGCAACATGAATTTACGATAAAATATTTACAATTAAAACTGCGTGTGTGTGAGTGAGTTTTTTTATGTGTGTCTGCGTGATCAACGTAAGTACAGGACCACAATGCCAGCTGCAGCCTCGTCAATTTTCGCTGCTCGAATATGTATGCGATATAATGAGATGTAAAAAAAGAGAAGTAGTGAGTGAGTGAATCTGTCTGTCTATTTATGGAACTGCTGCGTTAATATTGATAGTTATTTTTGTGCATGGAAAAAATATTTTTTTAGATTAATGAGAAAAAATTAAAGAGTGTTTCAATATTATTTAATCAATTAAATATCACACTTTCAGGAGCTCTCTGATTGCGTCTCGGCAGAGGGGCGGTTAATCAACTAGTTTTTAATTTATTAATTAAGAGCTATGGAAGTGTCTCGGAATGTAGTTGGCGAGCAGTCTGGATCGCGCGAGGCTGGCGCTGGCACTGTCCAGAGAAGGCACACAAAAAGAGGCCAAAAGCCGGGCGGCAGTGGTGCCGGCACTGCTTTCACACTTTTGATTCTCGAGGTGTGCCCGAACCGCAACCGGCGCCACTCAGGGACAACCCTTGGTCTGGACAAAAAATTCTTCAAGTCAATCGAGATCAATTGAAAACAACTTTCCTGCAATTTGAGCTTCTAACTTTTCAATTTTCAGGGGTTGCGGATTTGGGAATGGCGCCGGTGGTCGGTTTGGTTGGAGTCCGATGAGGAATTTATTTACATGATATTTATATACTGTTGTTTTTGTTTTAATATTAAGGTCTATGTACATCCCATATCGGTTAATCAGTCACTGAGGTCATTATTCGCTCAAGTATCTTCCTAAATAAATCTGCGCGTTTTTTTTTACTTCTTTTAATTACACAGAATTTTTGCATATCATCAGATCGTGCACGCCGAACATGATCTTAATTGTTTTGGCCTCTCTCTTTCATTCTCTCTCGCTTTCATTTTTGTATATTTACTATAATTCAATTAATTAATCAATTAAATAATACTTTCAGTAATAATTAATAATAATTTAATCGTAACAAGTCTCATTGGAGGGACACATATCGTCGCGCGTGTGTGTTCGAGGAAGGAAGACCCGAGGAGGGCCGACGGCGTTCATTTCCTCCAGCGTGAATTGCGAAAATTTGCTCCGTTCTTTTTCGTGTGTATTTCTTTGTCTGACTGAATTTCACGTTTGGCAGAGTTCAATTGGGCGGTCGCCTCCTCTTCCTTCTTCTCACTTATTTAATCAGTATATATGTTTTTTTTTTACTATATAGAGATGATTGCTTTTCTTTTCCTTAATTCTTGGTGCGTGCGTGCGTGTGGTGTGTCGGATTCAGCATTTTTCTTCTTCAAAAAACTTAAGTTAGCACTCCACTGGCATTAAGTCTTTCCCGGCGGCTGCGGCGGCCCTGGATGGAAAAACTGGTGGCGGAGGTGCTGACTGCTGCCGTGCTGATGATGGTGCACCACCACCGAGGACACCTGCTGCAGCTGCGGCGAGACCTGGAGCGGCTGGAGGGGGCGCGGGACGCCCCGAGAGGGTGAGGTGCAGTGCACCTCTGTAGGTATTACCCCTTGCTGGAACAAAAAGAAGGGTCGAGATTCAGGACAAAGTGGTCTCCGAAAATTTCCAATGAAAAATACTGAAATTGATAAAATAGCCCCGAGTATATGAAAGTATAAAACTCATGTTTTCAAGTATAATTAAAGGGTTTAAGAAATTTTCAATTAGAAGTCTTACTTTTTTGAAAAATTGAAATTAGCAACTGAAATTATTCGATTAAAGAATTATAATTTATTAAAAATTTCAAAATATTTAGTTCACTTTACTTTTCAATTTATACAAATTTAAGCGAATTGAAGTAAATTGAAGTTGAATTAAAAAATAGTCCTATAGGTTAAAAGTATAATTTCTAACTAGGTGTCTAAAGAGTGCAAATTAAAAATTTTTTTTGCTCTATTTTTTAATTTGATATAACAAGTCAGAATTATTATAAAAAAATCATCATTTATACTCACCAGAGAGTGACAAGGGTGGTGCTGAGCAACACTGCTCATGTCCAAGATTGGGAAGCGGTGGTGGCTGAAGGGCCGACGCTCCACGTCCGCCGCTCGTCCGTCCACGACGCTGCAAAGAAGACGATGCCGTTACAATATATCATTCCAATATAGGGAAACAAACGAGCTGCTTACTCATTGGTGGTGGGCGTCGCGTATCTCGCGGCTCGCAACGCTTTTCTCCGGCTGGCACGGTGAACAAACAAGGAGAAAAAGACGACGGCCACCAGCAGGGTGGCCACCAGGGCTCCACCGGCGATGCTCGCCTTCTCCAGCATCACTTTTTGTCTCGACGCTGCACAGAAATCAAAATGAAAATATTAAAATTTGGATTTTTATTACGTAATTAAATTGAAAAAAAAAGAGAAATCTGCAACCCTTTGGTCATTGATGCCAAGCGTGTTGCCTAAATTTATTAGGAAATTGGGGAATATATCAAAGTACTCTTTGAAAAGATTAATAAATTTTATATAAAAAATTACAGAGTAACATAAGAATGATTTTACTGACGATTTTACTTAATTTTTTTTATACGGTTAAATAAAATATTTGGACAATTTGAAGAAAGAAATACTTGAGATTGAAAAGTTTTTTTTTTTTTTGAAAATTTTAGGGATTTATGAAATTCAAACAGGTGGTTGCTCATGCTTTTTTTATTCTCAGGGAAAAAGGATTAGGGCCGCGTTTTTCTCTCCTAACTCAGTTAGTTTTTAATACAAGTATGTGTAAGAAAAGCACTCACGGAGGTATGATCCGTCCAGATCCTTAAACTCGCACCTCTGTCCCATGTAGCCATCGGCGCACCTGTGAAAATACGGAAAATATTTTTATTGTGCTGGTCGTTTGCTTTCGGTTGGTGGCGATTGTCAGGCTGAGCGTTTTTCACACATTCTGAATGCGAGATGCGCTGCGCGATCAATGTCAACAATGCGCTCAACAATCCGCCCGGTGGGCTGCCAAAAATGTGGGCGGCGCTCAGGTAATACCCTGCGACTGACACAAAGTGCGTGAGGTCTGAAAAGAGGAGCATCGGCAAGAATCTCCCGTGGCGTTTTGTTTGAGGGCAGCTAGGCGGAGGATAAAAAAAAAATAGAAAGGAAAAACCAACACAGAGAGAAACATTGAAACAAGTTGGGAGTTTTGTGTCCCCGCGGCCATCCAGCGCCGCCGCGTCCATTTCTCACCTTTTTAACCGAGTGACATATTGAGCTTCACATCACAGAGGAGCCGACAAATGGAGACGTACGTGTTGCCAAGGCAGGCCCCCAGATTAACAAGGGTCACGCCAGGGCCCGTCTAATGTGACTCATTTATCTCGGGAATCTGGCTTTTTGACAAATAGTCAAATTCCAAAGTCGACAGAATTAACAACAAACTGTCGAGACCACAAACTGTTTCCGTCTCGAAAATTAATAAATGAAATGATTTGGCAACGAAAACCTGAGGAAAATATCAAGAAACCTTGAAACTGTATTTCATCATAAATATAACAAAAAATAATTAAATTTTTTAGGGGTAATATTAAATATTTATTAATTAAATTATTTTTATATTTTGTATATTGTGGAGTTTTATCCCTTCAAAAAACCTGCAGGTGGTGCAAGATTTTTATATTTTGGAATCAGCCTCTCTTCAGCCGAGATGCTGGGCTCCGGCGTCAAGGAATTTTATTCGACGGCGATCGGCGGCTGATAAGCGTCCGCTTGGCACCTCGTTATTCTCCCCGAAAGACAAAACACACACCCCTGAGAGTCGTAAAATTAAAAAATGCGTCGCCAGTGCCTTCTTATCGGCGGTCAGGCGTCGATTTATCGCGTGCGATTCGGCGACAAATTTTTCATCTCGACGACAAAGGGCTAATAGAGAGGTGACGCATCGTCCCAGATAAGCATAAGAGGGGTAGGTCTCGAGTCCACAGAGAAATAAATATAAATTCATCGTCCCCTCTAATTTACAGGTTCACGCCGAGGTGGTTTTATTGGGCACTTTTTCCAGACAAATTGTACCGGCACGAGTTTTTTATGCTAAAGGGTGTGCAATAAATTTCCAACTTTTGTCAGAAAAAAAAGAAACGTTATTCCTCGAATGAAAAATAAAAGCAAAAGAGAAATTCGGAGCTTATACTTTTTGCAGTCCTCCAAACATTCCAACCCCTCAAATTGACTGCCGATTTTAAGCCCTCTGTGTAAGAAATATACAAAATTTACTGCCTTGTCAGTGAGAAAAATACACACGGGGAGCGATTTATGGACAAACGGAATTTATTTTCCCCTGGCGCATATAATGAGAGCAGGGTGTGATTTCTCACACCGGCAGCAATTCAGGGCTGCTCCCTGACGCACTCGCTAATCCGCTGGACGCTTTCCGCGGCATGCTCAGGTGCGCGGGCGTCGCTAAATAGCACAAGCCTCATTCTCTCATGCACCACCCCTTCGGGAAAAAAACCACCCTCCACAAAAATTCGACTACTGCAAAGCAACGAGAATAAACTGAATAGAGGACCAGAAGAATTTTCAAAGCTTAAGGAAATAGTCGCAAAATTCAGTATAAATTATGTAACAAATTTATAAAAAATTAATCATTTTGTGTAAAAATTAAAATTAACTGCAAAGTGTTAAATTAATTTTTTGTAACTCTAAATAAATACCAAATAAAATAATTAACTTTGCATAATTGCTAAGATTTTAATTTAATTATTTCACAGAAAGGAAAATTATACAATTAAAATGATTGAAATTAATAATTTTAATATAACTTTTGGGAATATTATGTGTCATTTATCTAATCACAATTTGAGAATTAGTTCCACGCGAAAATTTTCCCACACCCGCCGAGAGGACTCCGCAGGAAGCTGCACGCAACAGCCCCCTATCCAGTACTGCACCTTGCTTTCCGCAACTCAAACACACTCCAGCGTGACAATAATCGCCAGCAGTAAAATTAAAAGTTTCATGTCGTTCAGGGGTTTGAATGTTATACTCACTCGCAGTTGTAGAGGAGCGACTCGCCGATTCGCACGGTGAAGCAGGTGGCCCCGTTGAGGCAGTACCAGGCCGCGTAGGCCGGAGGACACGCGTACGTGTGGAATGTGACGTTCGGTCTCGCAGTCGGACTTGGAGAACGCGGTTTCGGCGTGGCTCTGCTGGAACACGCATCTGCAACACACAAAAATGATTTAGTAAAAATCCAAAATATTTAAAATTCATTTTAATCCAAATAGATAGAAAAATTTGCATAATTATTTGTTTTCATTTTAAATTATTGGTCGACTTCATTAGAAAATTATTTATTAAAAGCGTTTTAATATTATTTAAATTATTATAGTCAAAAATTGTCAAAATATTGACTGACTTTTTTTTTATTTTTCCCTTGTAATTTTTAAAATTATTTTTGATCATAAGGCAGCCATAGAATTCTTCACCAAATTTATTTTTTCCCGATCAGGGTGTGTATCGTGTTAAGGCGTATCAGTCATAGGTCGTCACCCAGCTGACACGCCACACCGCCAATATTGTATCGGCGGGCGGCCTGCAAAAGGGGGAAATGCTTGAATTTTTTGAAATTTATTCGGCAGTGCTGCTGCATAATGAAAATACATAAATGCCCTGCTGCTGTTTTTCTTCCCCTGCAATATCGTAAATTAATAGGGAAGCATGCTTGAGTAATTTTTTCCAAGTCACAACGTTATTAACAGGCAGCGCGTATTTTCTAACTGCGTCAAGTGCAGTCAGAGAGAGAAAGAAAAATTCACCGCGAGAAAACGGAACGACCGAGTTGCAATTATACGCACTGGGGAGATATCACCTGTCAGGGGGCGGAAAGATTAATTGCTCTTCTGGAATTAATTTAAGAATTTTCGTTCGCACAACCTACCCCAACGATAGCACACTCAAAATAGGCAGGAAATTGAATTACTTGACGAATGAATTTTGGCTTTAATGCATTAATCATATATTGTATAAAGTTTTGTAACAAAAAGTGACGAAATGGGGAGCAAAATTGAAAGTGTGAGAAAATTTAAGGAGCAATATCACATGAGAACAATGAAAATTGAAAAATTATTCTTTAATTTATTACAAAAAATGAATATTTTTTTTAATTATTATTTTTTTGAAATTTTTTGGGGTCAGGCCAAGAAAATTTTTATTAATTTAATATTATATTAATTTTTATTAAAACAAACCTAAATTTAACACTTAACATACTTAAATTTGATAATTATTTTCGGCTTTTAATTAAAATTTTGTAGAAACGTAAGAAAGGTAAGTTTTTTTATATCATAATAATTATTCTTCTTCATTATTTTTAATAGAACTCGAGTCGGAAGCAGAAGGTGGACAGTTTATTAAATTCGCGACACATCATTTGATACCTGGCGCGATGAGATATCCCTGAACGTGTTTGTGTTTAGGAACAGTTTATAGACGGTGCGATATCGGAGCAGGAAAGAAATTGTAATCGGAGAGCGCGCCAGATGCGATCTGCCGCGCGCCGCGCGTCCATTAAGCCCTGAAAAATATCAGGATTAACGTGCTAATAGATTGGCGAGCGGGCGTCATTGTGTGTAGGATGCGTAGGTCACCCGAAGAGCATCTGCCCCCGTCCGCCCCCGCAGCTGCCCTCGGGGGGCCGCGCGCGTCGGATAAAGGAAAAATCACAACGAATAAAATCATTTGTATGAAAGAGATGCTGCCGGTGGACAATGCGAAGGGGGCGAAAAAGGGTGAAAAGTTTTCGGTCTCAATCTGCTCTGATGCTTATCGCTGCCATTTTGACATCATTATGAGCTTACGAGCGTTTTCCGGGGCAAAAGGGTTGTTTGCGCTCGATCGTGTCAAAACTTCTAGAATGGAGTTGTAAGTTGTAAATTTCCTTATCTTTTAGAATTTACGGCCATCGAGGATTGAGAAAATTTTGGATAAAACTAAATAAAAGGAATAAATTTCCCCCATATTAAGTTTTGTTTTCAGTAAAAATTGTTTATTTATTTTTTTTTTTAAATATGAAATTTAAAATAAATTATAATTGGTTGCATAGTAACTAAAAACAACATTGAAAATTAAACCAACTTTTAGACTTTGTTTAAACTGTTCAAAAAGTCACTGTCGGGATTTTTAATATCTGAAGCATTAATCAATTGAAGTCTAAATTTCTCTTATTTGCAAAATTAATAAAATTGTAATTAAATTCCTCATCATTGAAGCAACATAACTCCTAGATTACATAATTAATTTAAACTTATCTTCAATAAATCACAAATCGATACCCAGTAATTAATTTTTTTTGTTATGGAGTAATTTAACTAATTTAAATAAATACATGATCCAAAGGTCTCTGTCAAATATGCAAATTTTTCTTTAATAAAAGATTTGGCTGGCCAGATAAAAAAATTTATCCCTTTCAACAAAAGTGAGCTTATATAATTTTACATAACATTTGGCACGAACGCTTTTCTATCGTCGGCGCAAAGCGAAAGATGCAAATTTAGATTTCATCCGCGTGCAAATCACGCCATCGTCATTTCTCATTTCCAATTCAATATGAGCGGCAGAAGGCTGGCAATAATCATCACACACAGCAATGCCATATAATAAGACCCGTCCGTCTTTTTGACTTTTCTCTTCTCTCGTCGGCTCATTTCAATATTCGCGTGCACGCGATTATTCAAAGACTTCGGGGGACGCGAGCCGCCTCCGGGGCCGCCCCCGGACCGCACAGGGCGCCGGAAGTCGGGTGCATCGATCGCGGGCCCTGGGGCGGCACACCTGTCAGGGTGCGCCAGCAGATAGATACAGGGGGCAGGTGTGCCTGCTGCACCAGGCTGACCCCGCACGAAAAAAAAAGAATAATAGGAAAAGGAGCTTTGGAATGCGCGCGGTGTCAAATTGGCTGTTAATTGCCCAGATGCTCACGCGCCAGCCGACCTATTTCCTAACAAATATAAAAGAAAACTGAAAATTTGTTAAAGATAAAAATAATTTACAAAGATTTTTCAAGTTTACATCTTATTAATTTTTTCATTTAAAATAATAATAAAGAATTACTTGATTTTATCAACAAAAAGTAAATTTCTGATGATATTTAATTTCCTATAAATATTTTTGAATTTTTAAGGTTTTGATGTCATTTAAAATGGATTCAAATGTAAAGCCTGATTTTAATTTTAATTTTTCACTGAAAACAATTTAATAATGAAATATAAAATTAATGAAACATGAACTAGTCCAAGTTTTTGCAATAAAAGAAAGTTTTGATTAACGCAATATCCCGGTGGGAAATTCTAAAACTTTGGTTAACTGGCGAACAGATGGCCCGTCTGCTGAGCCCGGAGCCAATTTTTCCACAACTTTTGTTTCTTTATCCTCCGACGAAAAGCAGCAAATTGAGAGACAACTTTATATGGAGGAAAGTGAAGATTGCGAGACGCCGCCCCGAGTGATTTCGGTGCACAGTATGAGGCCGTCAACCCCTTTCGTCGGTTGATTTAGTGCTCCGCCCTTGGGTCAGACATGAACTTGCACGGGCGAGGCTTTTACTCTCTCGCCCCAAATTGGGCCAAATTACACACAGCTTTTTCGGCCGCGCGATAACGAACGAGCCCAAAACAAATAGCATATAAAGCCGCTCTCACATGAAAATCCGCGTCATTTTCGACTCGTTTGTCACAGATATAAAGTGAGTATCGATCCGATTAAAAGAATGGAGCCCGAAAACAAAGCGTATCAAAAAAAGCAGTCGGCCCGAAAAGAATATAAAGAAGCCAAAGTCGATTTTGTTTGCTGCATATAAACGCGTGGTACACGCGGCGAAAAAGCATTACTCAACGTCAAACACGCGGCCGTGTTGTTAATATTTGCCGCGTTGTTACTCCGGGGGATCAATGCAGCGCCGGCCAATAAATATATCGTGCTCGAAAATTTCCATGGCGAGTTTTGTGTGTATATTTTTCGACACACGACGAGGAGTTTTTTTAGGCGAACCAACTCTTTCTTGAATAATAATGAAATAATATAAAAAAAAGAACTACACGGAAAGTGTACACAAACACAAACCGATGGCACAATGATGAGAGTCGACATTGACCTTGTGTGTGTTTGGCGTTTTTCAATAAATAATCCCAGTTGGGGAATAAAAAGAACGACAATCAATGAGAAAGAAAGAGTAGGACTGATGACAAATCAGTGTTACGGCCAAGGTTGGGAAAAGGAACTTTAAATTGAAATGCAAATAAAAATTTCCAGATAAAAAGATTAATTATAAATCAGGATCAATAATTATGAACCAGCTTTAAATTTATACTTAATAACGTAATTTTAACTGGTCACATTGAATGCCAAGTTGATTTAATTCAATTAATTTAATTGAGTTAGTAAATTATGAAAAAAATATAACTTTCTTTTAATTTCAGTAGAAATGTTTTCAAAGTTTTTATTATATTTATTTTCCTGGTGATTTTAGTGATCTATTTTGAATTTCACTTTATAAACGATAAACCTCCTTTACAATTTTCAAAGTCCCCCATCATCATGTTTGCACCACGCGTTAAGCGCTTCAAGATGAAGTTACAGAACGACCAATTCGGCCGAGGAGGCACGCGCGCGAGCGTTTCGCAGCTGGACAGGATATTCAGCTCTGGTCTCTCGCTCTTGATACATATTAATTACTCGAGACGGCGCGGCCTGGGTGGTTCGGAACAGCATCCATCCCTCCTCGGTCACAACACTGCGCACATCAGATGACAAAGTATATAATATCGTCCTCTCGAGCACGCCGACAATTAGTTTCCGGCGCGTGAATTCCTTTTCCATATAATAAATATTTTATACAAGGGGTGGTCTTATATGTAATAAAAGAAGGAGATCGCGCGTGCTGCTGCAGCATCATCTGGCCGAATTAAAAATGATCCTGGCGCGAGTCCGTCCGTTTTTCTTATACAAGCATGAGGCAGGTGATACATTCCCGAAAAACGGAGCGCATCTGTTCCGAAAAAGAGAGAAACTATCTATCTATGCGAAGCCGCCTGATAAAAATTTTCTTTCTTATAAAAAGTGCACGCGTTTTATATAATAAAAATACTCGCGCGGCGTGGAAGGCAGGGCGCATTCCCCGGTAATTTCGTGAGGAAGTCGGTTATTTGTTCTTTCCAAAGCTGCTG